AACATACAACAGCGGGGATTCGCTAGTGGTCACCCACCTAACTACTAATCCGCCGGTACACTGCTTGTATATGGCTGAGCGGACGGGAAGCCTAATTTTCAGTGTCCTATGGTCGTATGTGAAAGGACACAAAATTTTCTCCATAATATCTTCGGATAAAGAGGATCGATGAAGAAACGAACGGAATCTTTGAGACAGATCTTGTATCATGTCTAGGGTATTATATTTTGGACAGTGAGTGACAGGTGGACGATCTAGAGTACTGCACAAACCGAGTAAGAGCCCAGCTGCCCGCTTCGACGGGCTGACTAGTCGACGATCATCCAAGCTTCCTATTCGAGGACAATATCCTCACGCAAAAGACCCATCTTCAGCGCCTCACCATGCATGACCCCATACACAAACGACTCTCCTACAAGACGATAATGACCATTGGGCAAAGGCCGCAACACAAAAGGAAGACCACCACGGTACAACACCCAGACCTCATCACCTACACGCAACGATCTCGCTCCAGTGCCCATGAAGCCTCGGCGTGTCTTGAAGAGTCTCCGCTGCCGCCCTCCACTCTGATCAAGCTCGTGTTGCAGCTGTGCGAGCCCGATTGGCGAGTACGTGCCATTGAACATACTCTCCACGACCGTAGTCAGGCGCTTAGTGTACGAGCTCAGTTTGTATTGTGAGTTTGGAGGTTCAAGCTCGAAGAGCTTGCGCCAATTAGGATATATGAAATCTGATAGTGGAGAATGATGGGGTTGGAATTCATCAGCGCTGGACCATGGTGTCAAGCGATGTCTGATTTGGAGGTTGAGAATGTAGTCGATGAACAGCAAGCCCGTTTCCGATGGAGATGGGTATGTGTGGTTGTAGATGTCGGTAGTCAGTGTCCGCCATAGTACCTCGACACGCGATGGTGTCTTGCCAGTTGCACCGGGGTCTGGATAAGGAGAGTCGAGAGAAAGAGCTAGATTCACGATGCTTGCCCATCCTGCAGAAGGGTCTTCTGATTCGTCGATAAGTAGTGAAGTCTGATCAATATGGTCTAGTTGTATCCCTTGGACCCGAAGTAATCCCTTCCTCATGTTTGTTACAGCTGGACGCCAATGGCGGCTACCAGCAGCTGCCCAGTGTGCGGGACCACGGTAGCGGAGCGGATATGGTTGGAGCGATACACTGAGGTCAGGCACCCAGGACGGTAGATTAGATATCTGTCTTTGTGAAGCGTCTTCCACGTGCGATAGCCAGGAAAGATTCTTATAGGAAGACATAAGAACGGTTGCGGTTTCGGTGTAGACTTCTTGCACACTGAGATTATAGTCTGGGATAAGCGCATTTGGCTGCGTACGGAAGGGTGATAGGCTCTTATTGGCAAGGCCGAGGAAAGCATAGACCTTGTCCCTTGGGTCTGAGGATTCGGCAAAGCGATGCTTGTCTAGGAGGTTTCGAAGAGATGAGTGGCTGACCACTTGGCCGTTCGTCTCGGCCAATAACGATGCAGTCAGTCGAGTGGAGTTAAGATTCAGAGGGCTGATTCCGACTTCAAGTTTCGACTTGAGGACTTGCCTGTAGATACCGGGCTGTTTCCGCAACTCTTTCACGTGCCTCAGCTTCTCTGAACGCAGATGATGATACCATCGCGTAATCTTGACAAAAGACAGTGTTTTGGCTAGAAGTTCCCAGGGAAATACCTTGCTACCACAAACCACCAGGGCTGTCTTGCCAAGCGCGATTTCTTGAATGACCTGGAGGAGTCAGCTATACGTCGTACAGGTATACGCTTGTTGCGGGCTTACCCAAGCCCTCTTGAACCATGGGCGATTAATTAGGACTATGAAACCTAGCCAGTTATAGAAGGTGAGTCTAGTAGCAAAGACCAACGGACTCTCTTCTGGATTATAAAATGAGGTGTACGGCACTAGCGGCCATTTTCCCTCAGGAGTCGCCGATATCCTCTGCATCGTGGTAAGAGCGTCCTGTGTGTATTGGTCCTCTTTGCCTAACCAGACTACAACACCATCTGCTTTTTTGAAGACGTCGGCCATGCTGGCAACTTGCGCATTTCTTTCTTCAATGTTTGTCTGGTTCACACACAAAAAGTCTATCCAGTAGTAGGTGGGTGTTTTCGGCATGTGCGGCATGTTGACTGCATTGCTGAGCATGAGGAGTGCATCCCGAAGATTGCTATTGACCTTGACAAGGCGATCATCGCAGATGATGGTGTGTTGACGGGCCGAGTTCACTCTTGTAGTCAACAGAGACTTTGGACCCGTCCCTCCATGTGTTGATGTTGGTGGAATAGAGGTACGCGAACTTCCCCATGTGTAAGACAGGGCTTTAAAGGAAGGTGCGTCTTCCAGCTCAGTCGTCTTCAGGGAACAACGTATGACGCCATTGCTTGCAGTTGGTAAGAGCTCCAACAGACGTATGCAAGTGGGCGAAGGTAGACTTTGATATTGGTAGCGTTTGAGGTTGTAGGCTATAGGCAGCTTCGCAGCCTGAGTAACGCGAGCATAGCGTACGAGTCTGCGCAGCCTCATGAGTGGATCGAGTAGCTTCAGAGTGCATTGTGCATTGGTGCGTCACTAGAGGTCAGTGCGGGTGGGGTTGCAAGGTGGGGAGCGACGAACGTCATTCGCCAGTTTGCGTCCATGATCACTCAGCTTCAACCAGCAGGCACCATGATGCATGTGATTTCATGATTCGCTACTGACTGCAGAGGTCGTCAGAAGTTGCTACATGGTAGATAAGAGGTCTTGCAACACGTCGAGGCTGCTGCGAATTCGGAAACCGAACAAACAACCCTTTCTTAGGTGAGAAGAACCCACGCGGATGACGCGAATTCATTCCATGTCTGCTTCAGTTTCAAAGCTAGGGGCATCTTCTTGCTTCGAGTTTATTTTGTGAAGCTTGAGTTGCGGCTTCATCGCAGCTTCCTGTGTTGACGGAGCTGGCTTGTTCTAGTGGCATTCACATGCCAGGTCAACAGAATATACACCTGTGCAGACAGCCAATCATGCAAAAATGCTCAAGACTCAGCATCAGCGACACGCAATAGCAAATCCAGGCATCATGGCGGCATCTTGGAAACTCGAAGTCGAGATCAATCACATGCTTTCTGCACGTGCTTTCCGCATTCAACGTTCTCGTACCTCCTCCGTAGTCTTGACGTTTCAGGTCAACCAGGGTAGAGGAGCCACCGTCAAAACATCGGCATCATCTTTGCAGGCGAACGATGCCGGCACCAGACCTGCCAAAAGCAGTCGTCGGAAGTCCGCGGTCCTAACCATGCAAGACACAAAACAGCCTTACGATCCCTACCAGGCCGGAGCTGGTACTATAAATCTAACAAGCTATATGTGATAATAACCGTAGAGGACACGGCAATATTGCGCAGACAACGGAGCATGGTTACTCTCCGTGTCCCAAGGATTATATAAACTTTGTCTTATGACGATCCAAGAATAGACCGCATGTGTTGGGATTGTGATGCTCAAGGATATCGACATGCTGCTCGTTTTTGGTGCTGATGAAAGGTATCAACTTCATCTGGGCATACGTAGTGGTATTGCGCAAGTATGTCTCAATTGCTGGCATACTTCGATTGGCTGCAGCGGTGTTCTAGTATCAATGCGTTGCGTTGCGGTGACCGTTCAAGGAGAGCTTGAAATCTTGTATGGAACCTGTTGGGCCTGCCCCGTCATGGTCCGACATCACTGGTCAATTGCTGATGGGGACGTTTCAGCGACCGGTGAAGTCAAATGCGCAGCACCATATATTGGTAATGTTGCTCGGAATGTATTGCTGTATGCTGGCAATGCGCAACCAGCCAGCGCAATCACGACGGAAACGGGAATCGCGGGGAGAGACGGGCAGGATGCGACATCGATGACCAACACACATGATAGCAAGTTTGATCGTATGTGCACTAGTGGACGGGACACAACCGCGGCGCGAGACTCGCCTGAATGGGCCCGATGCCGATGCCAGCGGGTGCTTGATTTTGACAGGCCGGTAACACTCGCACTGATGACTCAAAAGAGCATCGAACCCGTCATGTTTTCCTGGTTGGGCGCTACCAACGTGGTCTGATTCCGTCACTCCCGCTGTCAGTAACGTAGCTGTCAAAATGCCGTCCTTCATCGCTTCTGCTAGCACCCGCATGTAATACAACGGCAGCCCACGTTCCTGGACCGTCTGCTGTATGACTCTTGCATCGACTAGGGCGGAAAAGCTTGCTATAAGGGTAGGTTGCTGCTGTGAGACTCCAGCCCTGTCACTCAAGTGGGAATAAACGCGTTCGTATGACCCCAAAAGCGGATATGTGCATGCTGTGTAATAGACTCAACAGTGTATAGGTCATGTATGTCGTGCTCAAATGAATTCCATCCTTTGTCCGCGGTGAAGAATGCCGATGCGCAATGTCACATTGTGGTTTCGTTATTGAGCCTCTTGGCCGCTCGTGCATATAGCACATGTGATTACACATCCACTCACTTCTTGCAGGATGCTGCCTTCGCAGCTCTAGACCAGGAATGTCCAGAAGCTTGGGTAGACAAACTCATCTTCAAAGATGCGCCTGACTTGCTCCAGTACGAATGACTCTACCTTCCCAACGTTCTTGAGGACCTGTTTACCACTGCCTTGCCCTCCTATTTCGCTTTCGACTTTGATGTGCTCCAACAGCCCTCCGATCTTAGGTCGTTGCACAGGACGTGGGTTTTGACCTTGTGCGTCTGTCTGAAGACCGTTGAAACCATTCTCTCCGCCGACCAGAGCATCTGCGTCTTCCGGTGACAGGAAGCAAAAGTGTGCTCTCTTCTTGATATATGCCAAGATCGCAACACCATCGAAGGTGAGTCCGGTGATGTTCAACTTGAGAGGAATGCCGACAAAGCTTGGCATGGGGTAGTCCAAAAGGATCTCTGCAGTCAAAGACATTTTGATGTCGCCAGAGTACTGCACATGGGTCACAACCTGTATATCATCAGGGCTCTTCTCACGCATGCGGTGAGGAGATGCGGATGGTGTCCGCCCGAAGCTGTGCTGAGAGTGACTGTCATCTGATCCGGCAAAGGACTGTTTCTTCCCATCGTCCTGTTGGTGCCTGGAAGAGGGTCTTGAGCTGGGATCTGGATGGGATTGTGGCGTGAGGGTTAGCGAGTTCATGGACGCGGCGTTCCGCAGACGCATATTTGTTGGCGTACTCGGCCGGCCGTGACGGTCGTCGAGCCAATTATGCAACTGGGCGCCAGCTACAGCGGCCAGAGGCGTCGTAGCACCAGAGAGGCCTGCACTTAGAGGCAGATGGAAGTAGTTCATGTTGGAGGTGCCACCAGGGATGCCTGGAGTAAGAGCTCCATGAAAGAATGGGCTGCCTAGCTCGTGGGGAGCCAATGATGAGCGCTTGGTGGATGGTCTAGCAAGAGGTTGAAAGGGGCGTAATCTATTCTGATTGGGAGTGTTTTCCTCCAAGTCTGCTTCTCGGCCTCGTTCCCTGGAATGGCTATTCCTTGGTGAATGACTAGGTGGGTTGCTAGAATCGCGTGACTTGGCGTCATGCTCGGTGTCGTCTTCCCCCAGGTCGTCCCCTTGTTCGTCTGGATAGTCCTCATCATCTTCGTAAAAGTCCGGTAGTGGGTCGCATATGTCTTTAATCTCAATCTCCGGGGGTACGCTGCCGAAGTCGAAGGAATGCACGTGAACTGAGCGAATGAATCGTGGCAGCGTCACCTGCTGGAACCGGTCGTGGATGAAGGCGCGTATCTTCTCTGCACGCGCGGAGCCTTCTGCACCGCCCGTGATGGTGTCCCAGTTGATGTCAATCGACATGGCTGGAGATTGATGGTTGGGGCTGACGAAAGAAAGTCGCGGCTACCAACACCGAATGAGGAAGCGACCACCGCGGGCCGAGCGCACAAACGATGACGCCGAGCCGCGAACCACTTATCATCCTGACCACGAAGTCATCGCTTGCGCACCTCATTTCTTCACGAAACGTCCAAATGTGATGAGCTATTCACGTCTGCATTAGAACCCTGCCTTCCGTGTAGCCCCGTGCCGACTAGACTCAACGATGGGTAGTGAGACCCGCTCGCGGTGGTGTACCAAGTTAGTACAGGTATGACTTAACTCGAAAGCAGGTCGTCTAATTGATGACCCGAAAGGAGCCGCTCTGCGTTTCTGCACGTGCTATTACAAGCGCCTCTGTGCCGCAGATCGCCCATGTGATGTTTCGAGGAAACAAGAGCAAGGGATGGTGCGGTAGTTGCAGGGGTCCGCACCGGTAGGCGTCTTGCCTCTGCCTGGGGTAACAAATGAGCATGAAGATATCAACTACAGCACACCATGTTTTCAAAGACTGCCATCTAAGCTCGGTCGCACTAGCTCTTAACAGTGTGGCAAGGAAACTTGAAAGAGCCAGGGAGGGTCGATGCACAATCACACGCATGACCGAGGGCGCTGGCACTACTACCGCGTCTATGTGGCTCAGTTTTCGGTTGAACCGTCAAGGCAGTCAGGCTGAATGCCTTCTAGAAGACGCGTTACCCGGTTGGCTGCAGATGATCAGTGCGGAGCTTGACGCATATCAGGTGCCCATTTATAACAGTCTCGGTTATTTGGCGATCGGGGTACATATTGGCGCAGGCCGCGGCTTTGCTGTTGGCTACATGAAAGCGCTGCATGCACTCGGTATCAGTGTATGAAAGAGATTTGGTTATTGCCATGGTGGCTGAGTTGGGCGTGGTTAGACGAACGCATCTAAGCTTACGAGGCGTTGAACATGCCACAGCCCGTCCCTCAGCATGATCGGAGGTGTAGTAAGACGGCCATATCTCCTCGAGCGTTATACGACAACGCCCCTGTTCCCAGGTTGAGTATTAGGCCCGGTGCACATGCTAGCATGTACTGCATGACAAGACTGGAGCTTGACTGATGGCGTCCTATCACGAGGCGTGAACGGGCGGTGCCTTGACCATGTACTCTCGTTTACCTGGTTGTTAGTGCGAGGCTGATATACAAGGGAGTCAGGCCCCAATATACATGGCGGATTGGCGGCTCGCTTGATTGGCCTGACTCGCAGAGGTGGTTCGAGAGCTACGTGAACTGTGATTGATGGCATCGCGGAGGCCGTAAGCCCAGGGCGATTGGCGAAAAACGGCATTGCATATGGGTCCTCATGCGTGATACTGTACCGCAGATCAGCGCAGATTGATTGGCCATGGGAATGGTCTTGTTCGGCGCGGAGGTCGCGCAATACAACAATGAGCTCAACGGATGAATTATGGTGATCCGAGAGGGGACGACATGTCCGTCTCGGGTGCGTAGAGATTGATTGACTCGCTCGTATACTGGACATTGTCCCTCATGCCAACGTTGCGAAGCGCTAGAGACGGCAGACAGAAATATAGTGATAGCAATGACAAGATAAGAAGAGAGAAGGCATGTGGTTCGCCGTCGGCGCATTGCGCGACATGATTAGGAGAACGTGGTATCCATGTAGTAAGTAAGAAAATGTCTCGCAACGCGGGCCTGTATCCAAAACGCCGGACGTGCAGTGCCCAAGGTCCAATTAAGACGCAATGCCCAAGAAGGCCAATACTTTTTGAAATCCGTGACGCCATGAAATGCAGGCTTGGGGCCAGAGGCTCAATGGGGAGCTGGTGGTGTGTATCAGGGCCATAAGTCGCGCAATGGGGAGCTGCGAGGAAGGAGCGGCTCAGTGCGGCGGACTGGCCATGATGATGGGGTATCGTGCGAAGAAGTTCACGGTGGTACACTGCAGAGGCGGGGTGTTAGACACGTGTGACGCGTAGGGTTTGGGGAGTGTCGGGCGCACCTGTCTCAATGGTCGCATCTATCACACTTCTCGTCGTGCTTGACGGTCTTGGTGTTGCAGACGCCGCAGGGAGCTGTTCTCGACGTCGCGCATGGGGCCTTCTCGGCGATTTCGTGGCCGCAGCCATATTTGTGTACGACCTTGGTGCACATGTTTGGCGGGGGTGGGCGAACGGGCAGCGGGCAACGCGCGGTTTAGGGTCGTACGGCGGGGGTATCGCCTTCTGCAACGGCGTGGGAGACGAGGAAGGCGGGGTGGCAGCTGTGACGCGCTGATTGGCTGCTGGACGGGGAGCTCTTTCTTCTTGCAGGTGAGGGCGAGACTGCCGTGCGGAGCGCAGCTCAACGTGCTCGCGGGGAAGGAGGAGCAAGAGGGTGTGGTGGAGGAGCACGAGCAAAAACAAGTCAAGTCAGGAATAAACAAGGACGGTGAGAAGATAGAGATGGGCGGCCGGCGGCGGGAGCAAAGCTTCTTTCTTGTTGGCGGTGGGAGGGTGCCGGACTGATGGTCGACGAGGAGACGGCAAGGGCAGCAGCAGCAAGTGCGAGCTTGTACTTGGTGGAGAGGTGGAGTGTGAGGAATTGGTCGGAGCGTCCAAAAGGGATACAGCGGGCAGCGTGGAGAGTTTTATAACTTCGACATTGCAGCGAGCCAGCCTGACGGTACGCTCCAAAGCTGTTAGATTACCTTCGCTCCCGTTTGCAACAGGACGCGACAGTCTTGTACAGCCGTTGGCTCCGTGCGGAAAGGCAAGCACATACATACGCGGAGCTACTAGCCTCGACGCCTAGCTGCAGCCAGCAAGCCAGCATCGCATCAGCCAGGGTGATCCCGCCTCCTGGCCAGCGCCAGTGCTGTGACCAACACGCCGTGAATGGCCCAATCGCCGTGCCTGGACACCCGACGACCGTTTCTCTCCTCCTTGACCTGCCCAGGGTCTGCCCACTGCGGAGGCTGCCCGGCACTTTGCGAGGCCCAGGAAACACCCGCTGCGCCAGCTCCAGCTCTTGCCCATTTCATTTCAAATCAACTGCACAAACAAAATAGATCTACCTGAGGGGCGCCGGAAGAGCGCCCGACGCATCAGACCACAGGGCTGATTCCACCGTCTGTGTCTGCGTCTTACTCGTACCGTACCACACCTGCTGTTGATAGACGTTGACCTCCACTACTGCAACCCTCCGTCCGTTACATGGCGAGCTGCAACATCATGCCAGACGGCTAACGGCATCTCCAACTCATCCTTTGTCGGCGACCAGAGTTGCGACTCTGTTTGCACTTCCTGCCTGACTCAAGCCTCGACTCAAGCACTGTGGTCAATAATCATCACGCGTACCCTGTCCGGACGACCGACGAGATGATCACACCCTTGTTCCTATCGCGACCGCACACCATTGGCACATGGCACCCTTGTGAATTCAATTGACAGACATAAAAACACCAATGCCCCTACTTGTCATGCGCTGTCGATTCCAGTGCGGTGGACAGCACGGGTGGAACATTGGAAGCAACAATAAGGGCCGTCCTTGCATAACGTCAACGCAACTCAATGACAGCTACCTCGGGGCGAGGTCAAGTGAAGCGTCGACGCAAAGCCGACTAATGTAGCTATCGAGTCTGGTAGCCCTGTGGGCCAAATTTGGACGCAAGCTTTAGCGTTGTAATTGCGACCTCCGCCCATGATTCGAGACAGGCTGGAAACTTCCTCCCTCCAGTCGTCAACCCAATTTCGAACCCTGGAACCAAACAAACCGCGGATTGCAAACACCCAACCGACTCGGAGCCCACCAAATGAGCTACCACGTCAGCGTCGGTTCAGAAGGTTGAGAGTCGAGCCGGGTTGCCGATGTGTGATTACCGACAGTCTCCACACTCCGAGGACAGTACAAAAAGTCACCTGGAGCGCAGAAGCATCATACACGACTGAACACGTCCTTTTACGGTCCGCGATCGAGATACAAGCGCTACTCGACGCATGCTGTGTAGCCTGTCAGACTGTGTTCCACAACCAGTCTTCAACGGCGGCAGGGGTAATTTTATCCGCCTTTCCCGACTCGCTCTAGCGTCACGGCCCGCTCTTACCTGATCGACTTGTGCGACCTGGAGCTCCACAGTGCAGATGCGCCGTCGGTGATCAAAAAGCAACGCGGACTGTTTCGTTTTGCGAGACGCAGGAATCAAGTCCGCGCGCCTGCAGTGTTGGCGCGCAGAAGCAACATGTGTCTTATACCTGCAACAGCCCTCCAAAGTCTGTTGCTCTCTACTACGAGCTATCGCCCGCTTGAGCAGGGCTGTGTTTCGGCACATTGATCCACGTTTGAGGCGCGGGGGTTCGCGGCTGTAAGATTAAGATGTGACTCGTCTTCCCTTTTGCGTGAGGCTTGTCCCCCATCTCCACGCGCATCACAGTAGCCTCATGTGACTGATTCGGCTATTGCTCGGCAGTGGACAACGCAATGCTGCTGATCAATGATCAACATGGTCGTCAGATCTGTACTGCACTGTGCTGCACAATGTGGTGTACTGATCAAGAACCACTGCAACATCGATTTGCGTGCCCACCGATTCACGCAAGACTCTGGCAGCATCACTTGCGGCTCGGATACTGTCAAGGTCAGCCTGGCGGTAATCTCCAGGATGCGAATCTCGGTTGCGCTTACCACACGCGAAGGCACTAGGTCAGGCCGCGCTATACCACAGTGCGCTTGTGACAGCGGCCCTATCCTTATATCCTTCCGATGACCACCAAAAAACCGTTGGCTGCTGGTCTCGCTAGCATTCCTTTGAGGTTGTCAGTTGCTAAGAGGCACAGCATGCCCCACTACGCTTGGAGGAGAGCAGTCATTATGACTAGCACCAGCGACTATGCGTCAACCTCGGTGTACGCCTGATCAACAGCTACAATTAGAACCGGGGCTGCCCCGCCTCTCGACGGACACGGTGTCTCGTCTACATTCCGCACCTTCGCGGCTACTTGTTCCTTGTCAATGAACATTTGTATTTATCTTGCATGTTGTTGAGGCTATTCCTTGTCGACTTTTCTACAAGGAGATCTGCGTCCGAGACATGGAACCAGCTGGGTCAGGCGCGTCTACACAGTGCGCTTGCATAGCGACATGGCGTGAGAACAATACAGTTGCAGATGCGGCTAGCCTGCTGCTCCGCAAGAGGCGTATCAACGGATAGCGGTATTTACCGGAAACCAAGCACGAAAGCTCATTGCAGCCTTGCAGGGCCGTACGGATGCCGCACAAATGCTGCGCATTCGCATCCGCACTTTGAAAGGTTTGTACAAGCAAAACCAATAAAGCTAAAGCTTCAGGGGCTGGCAGCGGATGATCGATGCCCTGAACGGCGCCCAACGGAGTTTGTGCATATATGCTCGCGCAACGACGATGCCAACAGCACCAGACTTGTATCGAAAATCTTCGCGTCTTCAGCTAGCGCATTGATGCCATGATAAATGATTTGACTGTTCGGAGTTATGAGTGCGATGATCAAGCTAAAGCTACTAGTGCACACGACGTTCAGTGCCAAAACGCCCTCAAGACACTTTTTCCGCCGTTTGACAATCTCGACCTTTGCGGAAGCCACGGACTGCGGAGAGTTTAGATATAGCTGCAAGGTACAGATGACAAGCGCAACGCCTGTCGATCATCAGCCAAGGCATTACGGTCAAGGTGAAGGAGCAGGCAATGCCAACCAGATGCAATATGTACAGACGATCCATTGGCAGAAGGATGATCCGGACCGCCACGGCACTTGACGGATACTAGCTACGCCGAAACTATCTTCTACAAATCCGCGAAACACCATCGGCAGATATTTCAGATCAGCGTGAACTCGTCGTCACTCTGAAATAAGCCAATCGCGTCCACACTGTACTGACGTGGGCTAGCTGGCTGTATTGCGAAGCACGCTATCGACGCTTCGCAAACCGCTGGTCTGTTGTGCGAAAAAGTAACCCCGACATTAGCGTAGAGCGGCTTACCTCAATTGCATGAAACGATGAAACTGTCATGTGAAATTTGGTTCAGGAAAAGTTCCGGAGGTTGTGGGTGGCGTACTATTAAAGTAGACGCGATGTAGTTCGGCGTTTGCGGCCATGTAGGGGAACGGTGTGTGACGGTTGGCGTCTGGGTCTCGTGCTTGAGGAAACGGTTATCGTGGCGTTTCAGCATCAATGGGAGTAGATAGCGAGGTCCAGTAGAGTTCATCGGAACACATGCGATAGGGCTTGGGCTCAAAGAGCGAGAGCGAAAACGAACGCTAAAATTCACGCGGTTGGTTAGCTCAACGAAGCCTGAAAAGCAGCCCCCTTCGCCCTGGATATCTTGTGCAACCCTCTCACATATGATTGCCTTCGCCTCCGGAGATGTCGTCTTTGCCCTGGACATGCTGGTGATCACTTCTGGTGGGGACAGTGCGGGGCGTCCACACGTGGACTTTGCAACGGTTTTCCTTCTCTGACGTCACAGCATGATATTCCCGAGCAGCGGCACTTGAGCATTTGCTTACGACCTGTTCTCGATTCGCCGGGAACGGGCCTAGCAGCGACGTTTTGAGACAAGGTTCAAGGAGAGGCTATCCATTTCTCAGCATGGCATTCTCGAATTGCTCGGGCCAGCTGCCGGGTACATGGCAAAGTTGAGTCTCGCGTGGCATATCGGCGGGGCTCGGCAGTCGATGCAGACGTACAAATCACGATGATCGAACATCATCTGCTTTGCCATTGGCTGTCTTGCACGAACTCCACTTCCAAGCGCGTCGCAAACACGCAGCCAGAGTCCTGATGGAGCTGTGTGGTAGAAGCATTAGGCAACTCAAAGCCGAACTGCAGCGAGCACACGTCGTTATGACGTCGAAAAGTAAACAGATTCTCGCCCACGGTTGCGATACAAAGACGAGCGCGCCGCGCACAGCGAATGCCCTCCACATCGATTGACATCGCCAATCGTCTCAATCTTTACACATAATCGACAACATGGCGTCCGAAATGCTAGGCAACGCTGCGGAAAAAGCAAAGGGCCTTGTCGGTGAGAAGACCGGCAAGATGGCTCAGCTTGCAGCTGTTACCAAAGACGTTCACGACGACAAGTGGCGCATCACCACCGATGCTGGTGTTAAGCAGAGCAACACTGATGACTGGCTGTCGGTGGCGACAGACAACCAGCAAGGTCCCTCGCTGCTGGAGGATCACGCCGCTCGCGAGAAGGTAAGCACGCTATTCTTCGCAACGCAACACCAGGGCCTGACAATCTTAGATCCACCGCTTCGACCACGAGCGCATTCCCGAGCGTGTTGTCCACGCCCGTGGCTCCGGTGCTTTTGGAAAGTTCAAACTCTTCGAGTCCGCTGAAGACGTCACATCGGCTGGCATTCTTACCGACACATCGCGCGAGACCCCCGTCTTCCTACGATTCTCAACTGTACTGGGTAGCCGTGGATCGGCAGACACTGTCCGTGATGTCCGCGGTTTCGCCGTCAAGTTCTACACGGAAGAGGGTAACTGGGACATTGTTGGAAACAACATTCCCGTCTTCTTCATCCAGGACTCTATGAAATTCGTAAGCAATGGCCCTGTGCGAACCTCATTCCCATATGTGAGATACTGACTTATTCAGCCCGATGTTATTCACGCCGGAAAGCCGGAGCCTGACTGCGAGGTCCCGCAAGCACAGTCCGCTCACAACAACTTCTGGGACTTCCAGTACATGCACCCAGAGGCTACGCACATGTTCATGTGGGCCATGTCCGACCGCACCATTCCCCGCTCATACCGTATGATGCAAGGTTTCGGTGTCAACACCTACACACTCATCAACGCCAAGGGCGAGAGGAGCTTTGTCAAGTTCCACTTCACCCCCCAACTCGGTGTCCACAGCTTCGTCTGGGACGAGGCTCTCAAGATTGCTGGCCAAGACCCCGACTTCCATCGCAAGGACTTGTGGATGGCTATCGACAGTGGCGCGTACCCCAAGTGGAACTTCGGTATCCAAGTCCTCCCAGAGTCAAAGGAGCACGACTTCGATTTCGACATCTTGGATGCCACCAAGGTCTGGCCTGAGGAGCTTGTCCCCATCCGGTACATTGGTGAGCTCGAGCTGAACCAGAACCCCGACGAGTTCTTCACCCAAACAGAGCAAGTCGCCTTCTGCACAAGCCACATCGTCCCTGGTATCGGCTTCAGCAACGACCCTCTTCTGCAAGGACGCAACTTCTCATACCAGGACACCCAACTCTCACGTCTGGGTATCAACTGGGAAGAGCTGCCAATTAACAAGCCTGTCTGCCCCGTCATGAACTTCAACCGTGATGGTGCCATGCGCCATACTATCACCAAGGGCAAGGTCAACTACTGGCCTAACCGTTTCCAGACTGTTCCTCCTGCTACAGAAAAGGAGGGCGCCTACATCGATTACCCTGAGAAGACTGCCGGAATCAAGGCCCGCATGAAGACCAGCAAGTTCAGGGAGCACAAGAACCAGGCTGAGCTTTTCTACAACTCCATGTCAGAGAACGAGAAGATGCACATGAAGGACGCTTTCGCCTTCGAGCTTGACCACTGTGACGACCCCGTCGTCTACAAGCGTCTCTGTGAGCGTCTCTGTGAGATCGATCTTGAGCTCGCTCAGAGTGTTGCGGAGATGGTTGGCAGCGATGTGCCAACTGAGCAGACTCGCCCCAAGCACAACAAGAAGGCCAAGGGTCTCTCCCAGATGGACTTCATGCCTGAGAAGCCTACCATTGCTACCCGCATGGTTGCTATCCTTATCGCCGATGGTTACGACAAGGTCGCTTACAACGGCATCAAGGCTGCGCTCACTGCTGCCGGCGCCCTTCCCTTCACCATTTCACCCAGGAGAAACAAGATCTACGCCGATGGTGAGGACAAGAGTGGCTCCGGTGTCGTAGCAGACCACCACCTTGAGGGCCAACGCTCCACCATGTACGACAGTGTTTTCGTTCCTGGTGGTGCCAAGTCAGTCGAGACCCTCCGCAAGAACGGTCGCGCCGTTCACTGGATCCGCGAGGCTTTCGGTCACTTGAAGGCTATTGGCGGCACCGGCGAGGCCGTCTCCTTCATCAAGCAGGCCGTCGAACTCCCCGGTATGGAGTTCTCGGCCGCCGCTGATGTTGTCAACAGCTACGGTGTTGTCACTGCTGGTCAGGTTCACGCCGATAGCTTCAAGGAGGCTGTCAACATGGCCAAGGAGGCTAAGGACTTCACCAGCGCGTACTTGTACAGCATCTCACAGCACAAGAACTTTGAGCGTGAGAGCGCTGGGCTTAGCCAGATGGTTGCTTTCTAAGCGCGCGGGTTTGACGAAGAACGGTAATGATGAGATACCTTTTTACTTTCCGAGAACGTAGATAGATACGAAATGATACCACATGAATAGCTTTTACTCATATATTCTCGATTCAACTTTTTCCACTCAGCCCCGAGTATTGATGATGGTGGTGCGAAGATAAGAGCTCGTTCAGGAAATATGTCGCCCCCTTCACCACTGTCGTTTGGCAGTTTTCTTTTCCATTTGTTTGTCTTTGTGCTACTCAGTACGCCAAACATACCGCTGATTCTCCGATCGCTTTTGTGCGACAGCGAAATATGCAGTTACCAGCTGTCCACCCATGACCTTCTGCCCATGTCTTATACAAACCCTGTATCCCTTGTAGTTTTGACCATCACGATACTTATCAATACAAGTCCTACAGGCATACTCTGTACCATCAGCATTATGCGTGGCTTGACCGTCATAGCGCTGGTTTATGCAGACGACGGTATTGCTGGCTAGTCGACCACGGGTGATGTACATTTCAATCAGTTTTTGAACGGCAGCTTGAATTTCTGTGTCGATCAACATGAGAGGAATGTTGATGTTTCCGTGGAAGAAGTAGATGGGTGCTCCGGAAGGGGCGATGAGGGTTTGGCTTGTGCTGGTGGTTGTTGTGGGCACTTGGGGGATTACAGGAACTGCGGTGGTGTCTGGTGCGGGATCATTCGTGCCTTCGTCTTCTTCTTCGCCTTCATCTTCGTTCTCCGTCTCTCTGTCTTCTGTCTTCATACGGATTGGTAGTGGGACAGCATTTTCTTTGTCTCCGTCAGAATCTTCGTCCTCGGCATCACCATCGTCAGCAACCGCTCGATCTGCTCGTTCTTGTCTCTCGCGGTCTGCTTTTTCATCTATAAGCGCGAGGCATATCTTCCAGTCCTCATCATCTTGATAATCAAGGGGACGTGGGTTTTGCCTGTAATTTGCCAGTAGCTCTTCTCGGTTTTGGTACATGGAAGGTTAGTTAGAGACTGGCTGGATTGTCCAGATATCGGCGTAGCAGAGGGCGAAAGAAACATTTGTCTATACTACAAGTATTATATATGTCTAGAATTAGGTGATTGCTTCATCACGCAAATATATCGTGTCTTGTGGGTTCGTCCATATTATTTGCTTCGAGTGGATGTTCGATCTAGTTAAACATGTTATTCTCCTAAACCTCAAGTCTTGAGTGTTCCCGACAGCCATGCCGATGTTGTTCCCACCTACTACATGAGTCTGATTACTATTGACGGTCCATATGATGTAGACAATGACGTAATTGTCCGTGTGAGACTGGTCAACGCAAATTGTAAGCTGGCTACTTTACTGATCACTTCATCGCTCTTTCCAAGGTTTGATACAGAGGTCCGCATCAAGCAGACTCATCCGTGGTATTCTCGCTAGAGCAGATATCTGCCTAAGTATGCGACACAAACAAAGTCTTCAAGGTGCTAATGAGTAGTCTGTCGTTAATATATAAGCTAAGACTGACTCAGCCATGGGAGATATGGGGATGGAGGTGGAGTTCGCGTTCTCCGTAACTTGCTTGCTGCAGCTCAGCCACACGCCCCACTCCGCACTGCCGACGCTAGCCTGTTTCGTGCGGCTGCGCCCTTCTGAGAGGAAAGGGCGATACAGGAAATTAGCGCTTACGAACATCCGAAAGACGTTTCTTTTCACCCACATTGGAAGAGACCTACGCAACGACAGCGAACGTCGCGAAAGTAAAGTACCTCCTTCCAAGGCCAGATAGCTCATCCGGCAAGGTGAAGCGACAGGGCCAACTTGATATTCTGGCAAGCAGCGTAGGTTTCTCCACAGTCGCATCTCGAACGACCGGCTTGGCGAAGTCGTAAAGTTACCGCAATTCCCCACTATTCGTCTCACCGGTTGCCTAAACCTTGGATCTCCATCGCCCTTCCCTGAAGCTGAAGGGCTGCATGAATGACTCCGAACTCCATCGCGAAACTCGTGGGCGCAGCGCCCTTTGATCTAAAATACCGAGCAACAGGCCTCAGGCTCCTAGACACTCATTCTCCATCATACTCGCTCATTCCTTGGAGCTTGTGATTGCTAACCGTCTACCACGACGAAAGCAAGACGCCGTATCCAACGACAACGCCCTCTGACAAATAACATAGTCATGGACCATCAGGGCGCAGGTTTCGCCTTTGACACGACGAACATGGACTTCAGCAACATGTTCGCGACGCCGCAACAACAGACGTTTACGCCAGCGGATAATACTTCTGGCTTCTTCTTCGCTGACGAGGGTATCGATACTACCGCATCATCTTTCATTGATCCGACCATATTCGATAACACCCCTCAGCAGAGCACATTTGACATGCAACATAGTCTTGTAAGCTTCTTGTTGGGCTCGCCGTATTGCATACGTGCTAATAGTGTGGCAGACCTTGGATGACACCTCGGCGACCCCAGCATGGAATACGCAGCTCACTCCTGATATGCAACTCCAACATATCGCGAAATCATTCCCACCCACACCACTACAATCTTTTGATACCATGCCAACGCAGTTCAATGCGCTTGGCAAGCGCCCACTCCAGCTTGATGTGCACGACTACCCTCAGTCGAAGCGTCACGCAAGCTTTGATTTCCCCTTGTTCCCCACACCCCCTGCGACAACCACGTCCAGCTGGAGCCTGGACCCTATCCCCTCCGTGGTAGCAGATGGGCTTCCAGATGAGGCAGCTGACGTCTGCGCGACATGGTTCAACAAGTACAATGTACTGCCAAGTGACAGGCATATCGACTCTTTAAGCCAGCTCACTGGTGAGCCAGCAGATGCCATCCGAAGCTGGTTCAGTCAGCTCCTAAAGCAGGGTATGGGTGGCGGCCAGAGTGATTCAGCCTACAAGTCCCAGACAGCACTCATCCAACAAGAACAACAACAGAAGCAGCATGAATCCTTTTGGGATGACCACACATACCAGACAGAGCTTCCAGGAGCATACAATGTCTACGGAAGCGTTGCACAGCCAGCGCTTGGGGAGACGTCTTCTCCCGGCTCGTCGCCCACTCGTGACAACACCACCGTCACCGTACCAGTAGTCTCCACGCGGGGTAGCAAGAAGCGGTGCTGCCCTACCGAAGACCTTGAGTTGCTTGGTAGGGATCCTAGGAAAATTTACCAGTGCACCAGGAAGTGCGGCAAACGGTATGGCCGCAAGAACGACTGGAAGCGCAATGAAGAGGAAGGCTACCCATGTAAATCCTGGGTTTGCAGCCTGTGTACGATTGAGGGGGTCGAGAATGTCAAGCCATGTTATCGAAAGTACCACTTTGTCCAGCATTTCCGAAACATCCACCCCGAGATGAACCCTGAAGACTTCGACGATGCCAGTATAGTGATCTCCGAAACCGAATTCCCTCGTAGATGCGGATTTTGCCGACATCGCTTCGAATCCAGACAAGAACGTATAGATCACATCGCCGATCACTTCAAACAGGGCAAGTGCATGCTTGACTGGCGGGATGAGGAAGACAACGACAGCAACGATTCTGCGGACGATGACAATGACGACGGCCCAAGCGATGACGGTTTCGGTGGCAAACCTTCTCCTCAACCACCATTCGATCCACGTGGTGGTAGTGGGTCCAAATACTCTGGCAGCGGTGGCAGCGGTAGCGGTTCTACCGGCCCACCATCCTGCAGCGGATTCTTCCAATTCCAGCTCTCACAACTTGGTGAGAGCCAGTCGGATTGTGCGGACCAACATATCAAACCCACTATACTTTCGCCGAACATCTCTCAGTCATCGACCTCACTACATGAGTCGAACAAGTCGGGCTCGCGCAGTGTGTCGACTGTTGCGGGCTCCCTGCGAGATGGCCGCATCAGAGCAGAGGAAGATGACGAGAGCGCTCTGGCCGGAGATGATGTCGCCCAACCCATAAAGAAGGAGCTTCCGATCTCATCCATGGATGATAGGACAGACAGTATTTTGTTGGAGCATCCTCACTGGAAGCACTCTAGAGCCGACATAGCTGCTAGTACTGGGCGTTCGTCATCAGCATCTCCTGCCCACATAGTAAATGGAGAAGTCATGACTCCTGACATATCGCTCGACACGGGTACGACGATCGCCATACAAGACAACTTGTTGCAGAGAGCAACGGGTATTGGACGACCTCCTCTGTCATCCACGATGTCCCTCGCTGCCACCGGAGATCAAGAACGCACGACACACGACGAATCCCTGGACAAGTATACAACGACATCCACGCAGAACATTTTGACGGTTGGACACTCCAGAGGAACAATACAAGCTAGGAACGCGACCTTCCTTAGTGTCAAGCTGCTTGGCTCAGGAGGCTTCAGTACAGTCGACGAAGTCGTGCATCAACAAACGGGATTACACGTCAGTCGCAAGACACTCAAGAATCGTAACCAGACAGTGATCGAGGAGCTCAAGAAGGAAGTAAGCGTTCTTCAGAAGTTACGCCACCCTCATATCATTCGCATCATCGGGACCTACTCATGGGGCGACAAGATGTCCATGTTGCTCTCACCCGTTGCCGATACAACACTTGCAGTATGGCTCGAGCGATCAGCGGCGCAAAAGCCTGCCAATCTTTCAGAGACTATTGTCAGAATGTTTGGCTGTCTCGCATCGTCAGTAAGACATCTTCACGAGCAGCAAGTTAGGCATATGGACATCAAGCCTCAGAACATCTTGATCGTCGAAGGTGACCAAGAGTTCCCTCACGTAATACTCAGCGACTTCGGTGTCAGCTCCTCAGAAGAGATGAGTGATGACCAACACAAGCCGCTAACACGCCAATACATCGCACCTGAGGTATCCTCGGGCATTTCCCGCAAGAAGGCTGCTGATATCTGGAGTCTTGGTTGTGTTTTCGCGGAGATGGCATCCGTTCCCTTTAGTCAAGACAACATGGGATGGTTGGCCTTCCGCAAGGCTTTTAGTGGTCGTACTGGCAAGCACTATTGGCAGGATGTATCTGGTATACAAGACCAGCTCGCCGGGTTCCTTGCCGAGGCAAAGACCACGACAGAGCATACAGTGATCTGCACGCTTCAGAGCATGCTGAATGCTGATCCAGATGCACGACCAGATGCAGGAGCGTTGACTATGATCTTCACTCCGGCACCATGCTGTCTCAACTGGCCCAACGACAAGGCGACGTTCCCCGGCCCACAAGAAGAGCTTGATGGAGTAGACATGCTCAGTCACCAAGGCGACATCGATACCTACGACCATCCTCACCCTCACGGAACGAACGCCACAGAATCAAAAGCCAGCCTTGCGAATGCAAAGACTTGGCTAAGCGAATGTTCATGCACGCACGAAGCTTGTCGCCACATGGTCACACGCGATGCTAGCTCCCTACCCACACGTTTGATCGAGATCCTTTCGAATGGCCAAGATGGCACAGTCCGCGCGAAGGTTGTTCAGACTGACAGTATCGAATCCACTGCCGACAAGACAGAGTACGTGGCATTGAGTCACGTCTGGAGTCACATACAGCCACTACTCTCGAGCGATACACTATCGAGCATGCAGACTGAATTGCCACTACAAACACTTCCGATTGCGATCGCGAAGGCAATTGCGGCAGCGCGTGACTTGGGCTATAAGTATTGTTGGCTAGATTCACTCTGTGTCGTACAAGACTCGGAAGAAGACAAGGAACGCGAATGCATAAGCATGGCGTCTACCTTCCGCAATGCGACACTGACAGTCGTACTTGACCATTCAGAAGACCCGGACCACAACTTCAATGATGAAGCTGTTGTCAAAGGCACGAGCGACAAGACCTATCTTGCGTCCTTACTCGGGTCAAGTACAAGCCAGAGTCCGACGTCAGGTCGACTACCTGCTTCTGCTCTGCTACCAGCTGGCATCCTGAATACGCCAAACTTTGGTTGGGATACACGTGCGTGGGCGCTACAAGACCGCCTCCTCAGTCGACGCTTCCTCCATTTGGGCGAACAGTTGTACTGGGAGTGCAACACCCTCAAGGCATCCGAAACTTTCCCTCGCGGTCTCTCAGCACTCGTCTGGGAGAAGATTCACACTGAACCTAGCAAAGACATGCAGCCTGGCCTGATGGCCACTGCTAAGCATGACAAGAGCAAATGTCGTAACGATGCCCAGCTCATGCTGAACATTGACCCCGTCTCCATCTCTATCACGACGCCAGGAAAGATATGCTACGACAAAGACTACCTAGATATCCGGGAAGCCCACACTTCCGACGCTGTTTGCGCCAGGTCTTTTGGGAGTACAACGGAACCGCAACGCACACTTCCGTCGGCGAATTGTTTACGTCACAGCCAATGGCTGAGGAAACAAGGCGACGATGTCGGACAAGGGACAGAAGCCGTACAAGCTACGTTGAAAGTCAACTCGACCCAAATGTCCGATCTGAAAGGCGATTTTTATCCTCCCTGTCGGAGGAGTGGAAGTCGTAGACTCAACAAAGCTTGCTTCCAGTCAAAGACACTTCCTGGACGGAACCCAGGCGGCGGTAATGGCAACGATGAAGGAGTGGAAGGAAATCTCATCGAGAAGTATGGGAGTGACGCAAATGCAAATGGGAATGGGATGGACTAGTTGGTGCGCTTTGTGGTAAGAAGCCGCTTTTCTTACTCGGTTATTGAGTTGAAGAACCTTCGTCTTTTCCCAGGGCGCTTTAGGAGTATTTCTTTTAGTTTACAACGAACTTTACGATTGTTATTTCAGAATCAAGAATCAACATGTTGGATTCGACTATCTTGTCTTATACGCCATACCAAGTGAGCCTTCATCCTGAGCGGCTGAAGCAGTAATACAACTGTCTGAAGGTGCTACTCGTGCATACTACTGTAGTAACCTTCCACAACAACCTTGACCTCTCAAGCCTCCGGCCTGACCCTCCCCCTCCTCTCCCTCATGCTCTCCACTCTCCTCCTATCCTCCTCAAACTTCCTCTTCAATGCACCCTCAGCCTCCTTCCTGCGCTCCCGATTCTGGAAGCGATAGAAGTCATCGGTGGCCCTATGATTCCTCTTCCTCTCATCCAACTCTGCTTTCTTCTTCTCTGCGTCTTCGATCCTCGCAGGCCCGACACGTCCGCCTCGCGTAACCGTCATGAAGCCATCTTCGTCAGGAACAGAGCGGGATGTTTTGCGGAGGCGATTCCTGGATGTTTCTAGGGCGTTGAACTGTGTGAGGTATGCGTTGAGGGAGGCTTGTAGTACGGAAGGGGTGGGGTAGAGGAGTGTGTTGTGTGATTTGTAGCCTATTGATTGTGAAGTTAGCATGGCATTCATGCAAACCTAGCATGCCGAGTAAAGATATATAACAACAAGACTTACGCTCGACGCCCAACCCTTCACCTCCTTTCCACGCAATACTCTTGCCCTCTTTAACAGCTCTCGCCACCTCCTTGAGCGCTCCCCTCGCACTCTTCTTGTCCACAAAAACCACGACGGCGCCACTCCCACTCTTCCTCACCTCAGTATTCCATAATCGCGGTAGTGCACTCTCGGCGTCTTCCACAACACCCTCTGCAATCACAGCCGCGTCGTCCATCCTCTTTCTCTTCTTCCCCCTCTTGTCACCTCCAGCGACATCGTCTTCGTTCGCAGTTGCAGATTTCTCAGTATTCCTCCACCGCTTATGCATTGGTTGCGCAGGAACACTCGCGTCAAATTCCACGCGTTCGACCATGCTGCCGCCTAATTGTCCTTGGAATAGCGCGCGTATGCTGCGCTCGTCGGCATCTATGGGTATGTTTGCGATGAAGAGACTGCGCTCATCGTCTGCGGTGGGAAGGCTGGGCGAGTGCGGTTTGATGTACACATAGTGTTTTGCGGAGTTTGAGGTAGCTGGTAGGCCGGAGAGGGTGGGTAGTGTGAGGGGGAGGACGGTGAAGTCTGCGATTGTTTTGGGTGGAGCTTTGGACTTCTTGGGCGCGGGGGACGCTGAGGGTGCCATGATGGCTTTGGCTCGTGGGTTGATTGCGACGGACAGCGCTGTGTGCTTGAGCAAGTCTCGCTTGGTACTTCTCCGAATGGACACGATCTGATACTCTACACAGGTCTAGGTCTGAGCGCGGTATCTTAGGGAGCACTATTGCGGGAATCCGACATAGAATTGTTGGTGTGGAAGTTTTCGCATGTGCCCGCGCAAGTCGAGCTCGTGGTGGAATTCCGGTCACGAAATTTTGGCAGGGATGTCACGGCCACGTTAGCGTCGCACGCCGCCCAGAGAGTAGCCATGGACCGTAGTGTGACACAGGTAAACATTTAGAAACGTACTCTCTTCAGATTATGAGGTGATATTGATCTACGGTCGCTGTCGCTATATGGGCTAATGCATTGCTCAACGAACATAGCACTAAATACATACAAATGCTGAAGGACCATACGCGAGCGAGGCAGATAAAGCAATAATGTGGATATCAATGGGAATCATAAGTCGTAACGACGGTGAGAGTTCATCTCCAATGAAAATGTACTGATCGACCGAGTATGCTTGCGTTTTAGCCAAGTCGAATAAGCAGGTGGCGAGACGCAACAACCATGCGCTTGACATCGCAACGCCATCTTGTACGCGTAGTCTAGAGTGTTGTAGTCAGGGATGATGCTATTATCCCAGTCGATTATTGTCGCAGTAAGGAGCGGTGTGAAGAGAGGTGCAAGAGTTCCATAATAGCCAGTCTGGGCGCTCAGTTGAAACCGCCTGGAATGCTCTTCATCGGAGACTCCGGAAGTGAGTGGTAAGCATCATCCTTCTTCTCGTCATCAGGCGAAGGCTCATGCGAGTACTTTGGCTTGAGTCTGTTGCCGATCTGCTCCAGTCTGTTGTCCTCTACAGAAGACAAAGAAGAGGTCGAGTCACCGCGCATAAGCGAGGGGGTGGATTCCGGGCTATGCTTGGGTTTGGTCGGGGAGGGCACAGGGGATGCACCCTGGGTAGTGCTCAGCGACCCGTCCGAGTTTGTTGAGACACGGTTGCGGAAGGGGTTCCTGACAGGCAGGGCTGGAGCGACTGGTTTGGCAACTTGAACAACGCGTGCGTGGATGGCTTGCGGAGCAGCCGCCTGGTGAACCTCATAAACGACTGGCTCATCCTCAAACTCGTCATCCTCATCGTCACTGCTGTCGTCGTCCTCAACCACTTCAGTAGCTGTTGAGTTGCGAGGAGAGCCGGTCGACTTTGAGTCAACAGCGCTATCAGTCTTCTTTGCAGCTGTGGGTGTTGCCTCTTCAATCTGCCTCTCGACACTCTTGGCTCGTGGCGGAGTGGCTTGCTCGACTCTAGTTTCGGGTACTTCTGCTATGGGAGGCGTGGGTAGACGTGCGATACTTGTTCGTGGCGGTAGTGTAGGGGGCGTCTTCCTGACGGTCGGCGGGGGTGGCGGTAGATCGTCAGTCTGTGTGCTCATATCGGCCGTTGGTGTCCGGGGCTCGAGCACGCCACTGATGGTGCTTGTTCGCCAACTTGAGCGTCGACTGCCGGCAAAGCTTGACCGATCCGTGCTTCTCCGGAATGTGGAGTTCCTGAAAGTGTTGTAAATCGGACTTGTTGGGCTCGGCTTGAATTCAAACTGCTCGCTTGTCGGCCGACTGTGTGTGCCTGCCTCCCTGATTTCTAGACCGGCTTCTTGTAGTGCCAGGACGCCATAGGGATCGGGATCGACGGCGTCTGGGATACCAAAAGTCTTGTCTTCGGGGCCTGTAACCTCAAAGTCTCCTGGTGTTGCCTCGTCTGGTATCAGAGACTCATCCACGTCGGTGTCGCCCTGAGCTGACTTGAGTGTTTCCATGAGCCTCCTTATCTCATAAGGTGGATGCCGTACGTTTCCAGCCAATATGTCTTTGACTCCTATGCGTTCGCCGTAGAAGCGCTCGTTCTCGTCCGTTCGCTCGATTATGATGGTTCCGTCTAGCTGGAGACCAGCATAGAAGCCCCGCGATTTGATATATGTGAACAGTGGTGATTGACGCTTGTGGAGCTCCGTGTCGAGTATGCCACCGACACCGGCTGGGCCTGCGACTGCGCTGATTTCTCCTCCCAGAGTACAGCGGATGGACTGGAAAGCCTCCATTGCCTTGTCGGAGTTGATGACGATAACACAGTCGTAGATGTCCACGCCAACAAGGAAGCCTACGCCAACAGTGTGCATCATAATGCCAGAGGGTGGTGACCATGTTCCGTCTGCCTTGCGCGCAACCAATACGCCAGCTCCGCCTGATCCGGAGACCCAGAGGCCGCTGCGCATGGTTGTGAAGATGCAGAGACCTTTGGCATTCTTGATTACCTTGGAGGGTATCTTCTTGAGGACTCGTTGCTTGCCCTTGGGGACATCGGTGGTAATGGGCCGGTCTTCTTCTTGGTAGAATCCATCCTCTGTGACTGTGTTAGCGGTTGGCGGTGGGTATCGGGAATCGACATACTGCAGAAGCTTTTGAGGATCCTCGCAGCCTTGTCCGACTCGATGTCGAGCGTTGTAGGCCAGAAGGCTTCGGAGCCGACCTTGTTGGACAGGCGATTGACAGGCGCACCGAGCTTGTCAACCCAGTTGTAGACTTTGTCGAAGCCTTGCTTCGATTGTGTCTTGGCTGTTGACCACAGGGCCATGTTTTCGGGCTGTCGGTGTGTGCAGAAGCACTACGTCAGAGGTGGGCCAGAGTGCTATGAGTGCGGTGCCGTAGCATTACACATTAGAGATGTAGGGCATTCAAGTAGGACAACTCGTACGAAGAAAAGGCAAAGAGTAGGGTCAGCAGACGGAAGCAGCGGGAAAGGCAGTCTGGTAGGCCAGCGGGCTCCAACCGTTTTTGAGTCCCACTGTACGTCAGCTGTAGGCTAATGCTGGCGGAGGCTGGCGACGGCGCAGTCTAGCATCGGGTACCTTAATAATAACCCTGGACATGACCAAGTGGTTTGACCCCTGCCCATCACGACTCGATAGAAGAGTTAGTGACGGTGATGCGATATTGATTTACCAGAAACAGGACGTAGCGGGGTTGAACACGGGTGCTGGACACGCCCATCACGGAGGCAGCACGTCGCCTGATTCGTCATGAGGATGCGCTTCCATGGCGCCACCAGGAACGAGCAGAAAAAACCAAAAGTCAAGACAAGCGCATCAAACTAGGCCATGCGTCGTGAATCAGGCGCACGTGTCGTGCAGTCTAGATAGCCGTGCGGGTCTGCAATCTACCGGAAAAAGAAGCAAGCACAGGCAGGTGCAGGGCTTCCCCCCGTCTTCACCTCGACGGCCGGAGAAGGGTTTCGCCGTGCTCCGGAGTCGACGCGCCAAGCCATGTCCCGACTAGGCGCGTCCATGGAGCTCGTCCAAAGTTTATGCTTTGCGACTGCGACAACAGCTGGACAAAGAGCTGCCCCAAGACTCTTACCCCTCAATAACCTACTGGGGCGCGTGTGAGGCGGAACGCTTGACGTGTGAAACAAAGCGCAAAAAATACTTTGGTTCTGGGTTCCTGGCAAGCCTGTCTCACCACGTAAAGTCGCGACAGCACGAGTGCAATGTTTCGTGGACCACCTTCCACACCCGGCCGCGATCACTACTACGACTACGACCGCCAACCTTCAACCACCCCCGCCGGCCCGCCGCCTCCAGACGAATCCCACTATCCCTCCTCCACACCAGCCGGCCCGCCGCCCGGCATGAACAACGGACTATTCGGCAACACACGCCCGACATTCAACCCGAATAGCCATGGCTACTCGACAAACTCGCTCTTTGACAGCTCGCCGCCCAAGCAAGGCCTTTTCGAAGGCATTGGAGCCGGCTCGATAGGCACTTCAACGTCCGGACGGCCTCCAGTACAACGAGGACGAATCACCTCCAGCCACTTTCAAGCGCCCACCAACGCACTCAACCGCGATGCACATGGCGAGTCAGATGAAGAATACACCGATGAGGAGGAAGACGAAGACGACCAAGACATGGACCACGACGAGGGCACCGACGAGGACGAGCCGCTCTCCCCACAGCGTCACAACAAAACACAAAACAGGTTCTCCCAATCTGTCGTCTCAAGAACAAGCGCAACCGACATGGAGCCAGGCCTTGTATTAGTGCGCTCCGGTGCAAAACAGACAAAATTCGACCTTCTGGCGCTCGCCAGGGGCCTTACATCCGACGCTCCTCAAGGCCGTTGGATGCCAACTGGCAAACAGAAGGTCCTGAACGAGGGTGATCACCTTATACTGGAGACGGAGCGCCTGGCTGAGAAGGTCCACGAGTCTCTTCACTCAGACTCGCCAGACAAGCGCACCGAAGTGCTCGGCACCGTCGCTCAGGAGTTGGTTGCAGTCTGGAAAGAGGAGACGAAGCCGCCTTCTAGACCACCTGTTATGTCTGACAATAGAACACCTTGGGAAAAACTCAATGGTAGTAAACTTGCCAGTCTTCTGCTCACCCTACACCACCCCCCACAGATCGGCCTGAACCAGCGGGCCTCCGCCCTTTCACTTGTGCCTGCGCGAACTGACTCGAGGCAATACACACCCATTCCAAGGGTACTGCTCGACTGGCTGAATTATGCATTCCCCCTCGATGGTAATTCCGAGGTTGGACAAGTAGGCAAGGAAACGAACGGTTATTCGAGGCATCCTTCTTTCTGGGAGGCGATTCATGTTTCCATTGTTCGCGGCAACTTCTCGCAGACTATGAAGTTCCTGCAGGGTGCTCGACTCGAAAACGCTGAGACAGCCGAACGCGACGGACTAGGTACCACAGGATATAGCGGCACACATCTCCAATACGCGAACCACGCGGTACGTCAAGCAGTTGATCTTCTGCGTGAATGTCCGGCTATTGCATCCGAGGACTGGGACATCAAGGGACATGACTGGAGTATCTTCCGGCAGCGAGTACAGCAGGTATATGCCAGCTTAGAGGACTTTGCCGAGGGCGAAAGTGCAAACCGTCATTCCGTCTATCAACCTTTCCAGGCGGCACACTTTGGCATCTCGCAATCACAGGCAAGTTTCCAGCTTAGCGTGGCGAGTCGCAAAGCCGAGAGCAAAGTACCGTGGTCAGTGTACGAGAACCTGGGAATCGTTTATCGGCTCTTACTGGGCAACGAAGAAGAGATCCTTACCCTATCAGCTGATTGGATCGAAGCAGTTGTGGGTTTGGGTGTTTGGTGGAATGGGGAAGAGGACGACTCTGCACAAGGCAGCCTGGCGGCAAGCCGTCGCTCCATTATGCGGTCACAACGAGTTCGTCCTGTCGACGTGACTCCAGTTAAAGCGTATTGCCAACGGTTGTCCTCTGCGCTGGCGGCAGTCGTTCACAACAGTGACGACGACTTTGGTATCAATGCTACAGACCGCTTTGAAGTAGGCTTGGCATGTGCATTCGACGACAACATCGAGGGTGCTCTAGAAATCCTCCAGGTGCTGTCGCTTCCCATGGCCTGTGCAACTGCGGAGCTCGCCAGTGCAGGAGAGTGGTTCACAAGCGCGAAGGGCCTACTGGATCAGTTTGACCAGAGTGATCTGATGGTCCTGAGTTACAACGAACAGCAGAAGCCAAAAGGTCTGACAAAGGACGACTTGCTTGTTTCCTACTCACAACTCTTGACTGCCGTCGATGTACCCTTCACTTTTGATCATGAACTACCGGGTAAAGAAGGATGGGAGATTGCTGTACAAATTCTCGGCAGACTGGACGACGTCATTACAGCGAACGAACGCATTGAGCAGATATTAAACGACTTACCATTGGACTCCTCGGCCCGCGTTGACAAGATCACTCAGCTTTGCCACAATCTGGGCCTCTCGCAGCATGCTGTCACTATCGCCCAGGTAAGTCGTATCACAACATCTTATTGGATCCAGACTGACTGTTACAGAAATATGCCGACCATCTTCGCACGAATACCGAGAGTTATGGCGATACACTTCTTTACTACGCACGCGCCCACGACGCACAAAAGATTCAAGAAGTGCTACGTGTCTTGGTCGCCCATTGCCTGATCAAATCAATTGCCTATCCACCTCTAGACGAATTAGACGAGTCACTCAGCTCGCTCATCACCTCACCAAAGCAGACCCTAACAAAACTCGCAAGCCTAGACTCAGAAGCCGCTTCCCTCCTCTCGAATCACCTCAGCGGTTATGCGACCATTCGCAAATACTACGATCTGCGAGATGAAGGTGTGCTGCTAAAGGCCGGAGAGAAGCCAGCACACCGGCCCATGGCACGAAAACGAGCTGCAGCTAATGCACTCATGGTCATCATCGCCAGTGCAGCGTCTAGCATTCGTGGTGGGCTGTATGATCCAGAGATAGAAACTGTGGTTCAAGTCGATGTCCTACTACCGTTGCTGGGCGAGGCACTTGTCTTCGTCAACCAATCCAAGCGCACATTGACCCTCCGTCACTTATACGACCTCCTTGCCGCCATCGAGGACCTTGATACCGCACCAAGTATGATCCGAACACAATGCGAAGAAGTACTCACAACCACACTCTTCTCCGCACATGACGTCAACTCGTCACAACAACTGCCGAACCCGCACCAGCTCCTATCGAAATCTACATCCAATTTAACAACGGCGTCAAGCCAATATTCGCTCATTGGTTCGACCGATTTCGGCTCTGCAGATGGTCAGAGTACAGAGGGCTCAACAGTCTTTGTCAAGGGCGGACATGTAGACGATACCAAGCGTGGCTGGGATTGGCGAAAAGGCTTTCCCAAGGGTGCTAAGAGTGAAGATATCATTGCGGTGCTTAGGTTGGGGGTTGCGAGAGAAATTGGGAGAGCATTCGCAGAGGGTGAGGTCACTGCTTGAGGTGTCTGGTTGGGAGAAATGATACCATAATGTAATAGTAGAGCGTTCTTTGGCTTTGGCCATCAGGAGTTAATATTTAAACGTCAGTAATCATCTCACGTTGACACGTGTGTATGATGATCATGTTTGAGTAATTGTCAAGTATTACTAAACGTCTTTCGCTACTCCTCCACTCACCAGATACGTGCCACAGTATGTTTGACTAATCGTATTGTATTTCACACAGGCGTAATATGTTCACACCAATCGTTCTCCTCGTCTGCGAAACTTAGACATATGAAGTGAGCTAAGCCGCGCCGGAACCCACGCGTCGACGTCGAACACCACCAACGCGTACCTCGGTTCCTCGTCTCCCCGCATCATGATTACCAGAAGCATGGCTACACGCTCCAGACAGCATGGGGTAAACGTGTATAAACAACATGCTCTATAATAACGTCTTACACATCAAAAAATACCATTTACGACCATAAATCACCTCAGTAGATAATGGCACCCAAACAATCTGCCCGTCACACCCCGGACATCACGCTCCCAACCTCCTACAACACCCTCCCCTTCACCCAAATCACCACGCGCCACCACGAAAAAGAGCCCTCAATCATCATCCTTACACTCCACAGACCAGCCAATCACAATGCCTTTACCGACGTCATGCGCGCAGAAATCGAATCTGCGTACGGCATGTTCGACGTAGACGACCGCGTAAAATGCATCGTCGTAACAGGAAATGGGCGGATATTCTGTGCAGGTGCAGATTTAGATGATGGGTTCGGGGATGGCGTGCATGGTGAGGCGGCTGAAAAGGTGCAGGAGCATAGGGATGGGTATGTTGCTTCCTTTTTTTTCTCCCCTTTTTTCATGTAATGCGATGCGACGATATGTGATCTGCCTAATAAACGAAAGATATCTGCTAACATACAACGCTCTCTCCAGAGGCGGACGCGTGACCCTAGCCATCCAACACTGCCGCAAACCCTCCATAGCCGCTCTCCAAGGTTCTGCAGTAGGCGTCGGCATCACCATGACACTCCCCATGAATATACGCATAGCGTACGCCAATGCGAAGATCGGTTTCGTCTTCGCGCGCCGTGGACTCATTATGGAAGCTGTTAGTTCGTTCTTCTTGCCCCGGTTGATTGGGCATAGTCGCGCGATGCAGGCAGTCACGACAGGTAGCACGTATCTTGCTAGCGACAAGATCTGGGGTGGTTTGTTTGCAGAGACGTGTGAGAAGGCCGAGCAAGTGCTGCCAAGGGCGCTTGAGGTGGCCGAGGACGTGGTGAGGAACACAAGTAGCGTGAGTACGTATTTGATGAAGGAGTTGATGTATAGGGATGTGGGAAGTCCTGAAGGTCAGCATTTGTTGGATAGTAGGGTAATCTATGAGCTGTTTGGGTCGCCGTAAGTCTATCGCAAAGTTAAGATCGAACAAAGCTAATTGGTAACAGGGATAACACCGAGGGTGTGAAGTCGTTCATGGAGAAGAGGCAGGCGAAGTTTACAGGAACGATGGATAATACCAATGTGACTGGGTATCCGTGGTGGATGCCGTTGGACACTTTGAATAGGCCAAAGGTAGCGCCAACAGGGAGGCCAAAGATCTAGTCGCATATTAGGATACGAGCCAGCGTACAAAATGTACCGTTTAGTGTATTGGCATGACTTCATTGTCTATCGTCCTCAACCCACACAACTGCTGTTCGATGTCCCTGTCTGGCTCGCCTTCACGCGCGTAGCTAGCCAGCGCCCTGTACTGCATCACGCGCACCGACGGCTCGAATGGAGGTATCAGGGATTTTCATTCGTTCCTAGTGTACTTCTTTTCGTGAAGCATGCATAACCGAGGGAAACCCATATCATCCCAACCCATCCAGACCGCACTCCGTAATGGAAAACACGCTTAGAAGAAAGTGGAAGGTCGGGTAGCGGAGAAGACCTTCTTGCCAGCCTTCTTGTTGATGCGGTGGGGCAGCGGGAACTTGAGGTTCTTGGTGAGGAGCTGCTTAATGTATGGTCGGCGGATGTCGTCGGCCTTCTCGACCTCAACGACCTTGAGAATCTAAACAAGATGTAAGTGGACTGATGAACACGGTAGAGTCGGTCTGATCTTACCTGAACCTGCCTGAAACGCGATCGGTGACGGGCGGCCATGTCCTGGTAGAGGGCATCGACGGCGGCGACGCGGGACATCTCGCGGTACTCCTTGTACATGTTGTGGGTGCCGGAGCGCGAGTCGTACTTGAGCCAGATACCGAAGTTCTTGACCTTCTGGGGCTTCTTCTCGTGGATCTAGACAAGTCAGTCTCTGACATTCCTATTTGGTGGATTGTCTGACGTACCTGGTTTACGGAGACGATCTCACCGTTGGCCTTCTTGATCTTGCGGAGCTTGCCAAGGAAGTACCAGAACCGTGACTTGGCGACAACCTCGTTGGGCGCAAAGATGCGCATGCGGTAGATCTTGGGCGCGGGGTTGGCCTCTGAAGGCAGATGGCGGCCGATAATCTGGTATTCCTGGAAGCGTGCTGAAGCATCGTCAGTACTGCTTCAACCAAAGATAGTGCCCCCAGTCCAGCAATTGCAACAGCCGTGGTCGGAGAGTTCGGGTAGGTTAGGCTGATCGAGTACGGTCGTGTTCGAATTTGTCGCATGCGAACGATTTCGCGTGCATTCGCTGCCATAGTCATCCCGTCGTGCCTGCACACACTACTGCTGCTCCTTCCCAGTCGATCTCAAACTCGTGTTGTCGTGTGTCGTCATGGCGAGAGGCGTTCAAGGTCGCGCTGGCCTTGTTCGAAAATTCCATCGGCTGCGATTGCTGGACGGGACGATCTTGCGGAGAAGAGAAAATTGCTTACCCATCTGCGAATGGTTAGCAAGCGATGTTGGCATGAGCTGGCGACGTCGACTGACCTTGATTGTGCTGTGAGGTTAGTACCTTGGGTTGAGAAGTTCAGTCAGGTCGTCTCTATCGTGGACACACAAGCGAATTCGACACCAGCTTGTGGGCGCTAGCTGAGCAGGGACCCACAACAACTTGGCGGCAGGCGCGAGGGTCGTCGGCGAACAAACAGCCCAAACACCGACATGCCAACACCAAGAGCATCATCAAACACGCACCAGCTGGTTTACTGCAAACATAGTCTGCAACATGTCCAAGGGTTAAGTACACCAGCTGAAGTCGCGAAACCCTTCTGACCAACGCGACAATCGACGTTTGATTTCTGCACTCGTACGCCCACGCACGACCATGCAAGCCGCACTTGAGCCTTTCCACGAGGCATATGCCAGTGGTCTGGCGCAACCCGTCGCAGACTTCCTCAGTCCAGTTGCTCCTGCACATGATCCCGGCCGGCTGTACGACTTCTACCGCGCTTCCAGCGACGACAAGATTGAGGGCGATGTTCGATATGCGCTCAAATACAACAAGAACACACGCATGACCAACAAGGAGGCTGGCGCGTGGATTGACATCATTGCTGCTTACTGGCGCGCTGTCAGAGACATTATCAAGACTGACGAAGCAGCGAACCAAGGCAGGCTCAATGCGAATCACTACGTGGCTGTGTACGATGCATGGAAGGACTTGACAAGCAGCTTCATCAAGCACATCAGCGCTGGACTACTTCCACCATGGGCCATCTTCACCCTATACTTCACTGCGAATCATCTTAGGAAGATAGCAATCAGAGCGGACGAGCAGTTGGCCAAGTCGAAACCAGCAACTCTCAATACTGGCTACTCGGACGATATCGTAAGCACAGCCCCGCAGAACCAGAAGCTTGAAGAAGCTGCGCGAGTCTTCAACAGGATATTTGCTCTTTGTCTTGGTGACAGGAACCCAGACATGTCAGAATCGCGAAAGTGGGGTGTATACTGCATAGCCAACCTTCAGTTTAAGACATACTTCAAGGTAAGACATATCCTAGTCCGCATTGTGTAACAATCGCTAACACGTATGCAACTAGTTAAAAGCCATAAGCCTGTCTAAAAACGTCGTGCGATCCATCGAAGCACAATCTGATTTACCTACATTCGAACTGTACCCGCGAGCGCATAGAGTCACATACAGGTATTATCTGGGAGTACTAGCATTCCTACAGGAGGATTATGCCAAAGCGGAAAGCAGCTTGCAACAAGCATGGGAATCTTGCTGGTCGAAGTCGCAAAAGAACAAATCGTGAGTTCGAACAATCTAACGCGGGTGGTCACGAAGCTAAAAACACAGGCTCATTCTTACATACCTCATACCCTGTCGCCTGATCACCCAACACAAGATTCCTACGGCTAGTCTTCTCGCTGAGGCGCCTCGTCTAGAACGCATCTTTGGCCCCCTCGTATCATGCATAAAGCGAGGCGACCTCACAGGCTTTGACAAAGCCCTAGCGGATGGCGAGCCCGAGTTTGTCAGACGGCGCATCTTCCTCACTCTAGAGCGGAGCCGGGACATCGCCTTGCGCAACCTTCTCCGAAAGGTCTACCTAGCTGGTGGCTTCGACGATCTCAAGGAAGGACAAACGGAGAAGGACCGGATACGGAAGTCGCGAGTACCACTAGCGAACTTTGCCGCCGCACTCAGGATGGGCATTGCAGGCGAAGGCAGCGGCCAAGCCGTCGAGGACGATGAGGTTGAATGCTTATTGGCAAACCAGATCTACAAGGTGCGCATACCATGCCTGCAACGTTGGGCTCTACTCCACATTTCTGCAGGTCTTCTCCAGTGTCGAGGCAACCTCGTCACGTAGACCACATCGCGTCTTGAACCCACTTGGCTAACCCAGATTGCAGGGTCTCATGAAGGGGTACATCTCGCGCGAACACGGCATGGTAGTGATGAACAAGAAGGGCGCATTTCCAGGGACAGGGGTCTGATGCCTAAACACATTTTCGTACTGGATATCTCCTACAGGACTCAACCCATCAATCAACCGTGGTTGCATACCGCGACACGTCACTATCCAAGCTGGGAACGCGCATACACGTTTGCCTGTGTAAGAGGCCTCAATGCGCACATAATCACGCCATGACGTACCACACCATCGCGGCAAAAAAAAAACTTATCAAGAGCACCAATTCAATACAAGCTACCGATGTACCTCAAACTCTGCTACCCTGGTAGTTCCTGTATCTGACCTAAACCCTCGCTTGCACGGTTCGTGAGACAAGCCGGCTCTTCGTGCGCGGCCAGTCACTGTTGTAGGAACCACAAGCCGCGTTCCCGCACAGACATGCTGTCGCCCTATCAGCTGATATCGCGTTGCAGACCCCGCCCACACCCAACGCCAGTCCGCCCTAGTAATCGTCGCGCCATTTGTGCTACCTGCCCGACGCGACCCAAGGCGACTTTTTGCTGTCGTCCCCGCTTCAGCGTGCAGCGATGGTGGTTCTTGGCGCATGTGGATGTCGGCAGAGGTACTATGACTGTACCTACCGACAGTATCGGTACCACGCCTCGCCGTATAGAAGTGTGGGTAAGCTTTCGAGGAGAGGAGTCAGCGGGAAACGATCGTCGGTGTTCCCTCGGGTATGCAGGTTATCGTGTTCCTCTTTGCCTCAACGATGCACCTGGTCCTCCTCCATCCATGTTACTCCGTCTTCGGGCACCGTTATCATCTACCTAGACATTGCATGCCGTTTCCCATTCCGTTGGTATAGTTGCTGCCTGACTGGCATAGTGAGCAGCGTTTCCTAATCCCATGCACCCCAGCTCATAGCTCATTGCTCGCTTTGCGCTCCTCGCTTCCTGTTCCTGGTTGCCGTTTGCAGCCCGCATGTTTTACTTCTATTATAGCGGCGTATTAAGGCTGCATGTGCTTCGTTCCACCTAGAGCGACTCGACAATTTGTCTTACCCCGCGGATCAGATTGTGCGCTACTTTGCTAGCGATATTGCCTTTTGTCTTGCTGTTCTTCTTGTGGTTCTGGTGGTACTTGCGATACTGTTTGGGCACTTTCTTCCCGCCGGCGCGTTTTGCACTGATGGCTTGGACGGAGTGCGGGGGTGGGCGTTCCATTGTTATGTGCTAGAGTGTTTGGGTCGTATTGTGTGGTGTATCGTATAATAAGCAAATATTTAGTGAATTATGTATGTATGTGTGTCTTCGAAATGATCATGGGTTTGCTGGACACCTGCACTTGTGCTCTGTGATATTGTCGGCTTGAATACACCAGAAATTTTTCCCGGTTATATATCTAGGGTCTGTTAAAGTGTGAATGGAATGTTGGTGCCGAGTTGCCGGCCAATGATATCAGCCAAGCGAGGGTGGAGACGGAGGAGGGCTGAGTATCAAGAGTTGGAACATAGAATGGGAGGCCTAACGAATTGCTGCGCTATATCACATTGTTGACCGAAGACTTTGTATTGGTATTCTGATGTCTGAGTTTCATTCATTGTGTTACCAAATGCTATCATTAATTGGGTTGAACAGGTTATGAGGTCGACGACCATATCTTGTTACAATTTGGTGCAGCCCTGCTGCAAAAAAGAATACCTCAGACGCGAAATATAGAGACTAAGAGGAAGATAAACGCAGAATAATCGAGTGACGATGGTCACCCACGATAATTTTGTGTCTTGAGAGTCAAACCGATGTGACGAAGGCCTGCATATCGAGGCAACTTCAAGGCCAATGCAGAAGGCGCGAAAGTCAAATGAAACCCAACCTAGGCAAAGAGATAAGTATAGTAGTACAACAGTGGCGTGAGTGAGTGCCAGAAAGGTATGTTCAAACTGTAACGCCGTGCAGGATCAAGACCGTAACCGAAGAAGAGCCCAGTAAAGAGATGAGGCATAGCCGCGAGGCTCAAACGGAAAGTGTATGTACAAGAAGAGCAAGAAAAGACAGACAAGTGAAATCATTAGTCGGATCCAAGGAAGTGGGGCTGCTGTAAGCGGAAAGCTTCAGCGGATTGAAGGTGATGACAGGTCGTCCATGTGGTTAACCATGGCAACGAACAAGTCGAAGAAGAGCTTGCCGCCGTTCTCCATCTCATTCTGCATAGTGCCGCTGCGCTTGAAGGTGTGTCTGGCTCGGATGATGAGCGCGAGGTAGTGTGCACGGAGCTTCGAATCGTTGTCAGGAGTGTTGGCGTAGGCATAACGGGCAGATGTCAGAATAGTCGAGCACTGAATGCCTGACTGGAGACCTTGCTTCTTCAACGCAAGCTTTTTTAGTTCTTGTAACCCGTACTTGTCAGCTTGACAGTAAATGACGGTATCTTTCAGTATCGGTCCGACCGAGGACTGGACGACAGCTTCATGTGTATTGTTGGTGTTGCCGCCGTCTTCAAGATTCCAGCTGTTTCGTTTCTTGTCGTACTCCATGCGCGGGTAGTAGTCGCCCTTGTAGAGATACTCAAGAATCGATGAGAAGACTTCGGGTTCTTCGTCAGGTAGGTCGATGCGCTTGTTGGTAGTCTGAAAGAACTGGCCGCTACAGAGGGTTTGAAACCAAGGAGAGTGAGATAGGACATCTTCGTGCGCTGCGAAGAGTCGCTGTTCGCGGCCGACGGATATGGTGATGATGGCACTGATGGAAAAATTAGCAAAGTCGCTTGGGTTGGTCAAGAATGGATGTACTCACCTGCCTAGCGACGGCGATGTTTGATTCGATTGTGGTGATGATGCCTGGGCATGTTGTGCTAGCCTCTCTACTCTCCTCGGCGAATCCCTGAACGAGGGGTTCTTCTTGTGTGATTTAGACTTGGTTGCGCGATGTTTCGAAAAGCTGCCTTCCTGGTGACGTGTGCGGTTTGATGAGAACATGATGAAATATGAAGAGTGCGGTACTGTGCGGAGAGATGTTGTTGATACTTATATGTGCAGTGTGTAGGCAGCAAGCATACGAAACTGAGTAGGCAAGTAGACGACTCGAAAAGAACCTTAGGCAGATACGTCGTAGGGCAAATGAGACAGTAGCACGCAAGTACTAGGCGACTGCAGCCGTGTATATATACCTGACTCCTCACAGGAGGCCACTATCTGGCCCTCGGCCAGGGTGAGGGTGAATGGCGACGCGGATTGGACGCGTCCACAGGCCTAACACGTAAACGCGATATCACATGTTCCGCTTTTCCTTTTTCAGAGTTAAGAGTCAGGACGGCTGAGCCCCCGGACCTAGACCAAGTAACACTTGTGCAAGGTTGTGAAACAAGGGCGGGAACAAAGAAGGCTGATAGCGCTAGTTGGGCGCCGGTGGGTTGGCGTAGTCCTCGAACCGCAAGCAACTAGACATGTTAGAGACGAGCCAGCGAGAGCTGATGATCGATACTCGCGATGTCTCATCCCATGCTTCTGCTAGAGAGATGCGACGAGCATCACCAGCCTCGGCGACATGATGAGATGACTGGTCGCAATCTTTGCGCAGGGCTTAATGCCTGCAGCTTGCAGCTTGCGTCGGGAAGGTGGAAGCTTTGGCCAGGCACCCAAGAAAGTTTGAGGAAAAGCAATCGACGCCGCCGCCGTGCAACAGCCAGCATCGGCTCATCGCTTGCATCTGCGAATCAATGAAAGGCGGCCGTCCACCGGAGGCCCTCTCTAGAGCCCGTTTTCCGTTCCCCTGAGGGGCAAATGTCGCGTTGAAGGACCGAAACCTAGTCAGAAAGGCGTGGCGCGAGACTATGATCCGGTTCCGCGCAATAATGGGATTCGCGGCTGGCAAAAGCGAGGTCAGCGACCATGACACGGTGCCTGGTGCCGTAAAATTGTGCGTCGCTGATCAATAACCCTCAGACGCGAGGGGTGTATGAGTGGAGCGCGTTCAGGCATTCACAATGAAATCGCCCCTCGACGCGTCCTCACGTGTTCCACTCAAGCCCGCATCTGGTTTGGCGCACAACGCTACCAGGGAACCCAACGGCTCTGCAGTTTCACCACGTCTGCATTCATCATAATGGACGGCAGCAGCACCTAGAATAATCCGTCGCATCGATTGTGACGTATCGGATATGCAGCAGAGCTCCCCCCCTTATTATGCTGCTCTCCATCCTCGGTGGCGTAGTTTCTTGCTTGAGCTGGTCTTTTTGTCGGCTTTCACGAACGCTGGCAGACACTGCATCGTCAATCAGGTCATCATCCACGAAAACTGGCTGCCAGTCAGATAAGTTGTTTTTTGTTTTGTCCATTTTCAAGCCCGTCTGCCTTCAGATCGATCGCACCATATTCCAACAGCGCATACAACACTTCTGGACGGTGCGAACTCAGTATGGATAGGCCTCGGGTTCTGCCGCGATCCGCTCGTCTGTCAGCATTTACTCTCCATCTATTTACTCCGTTGTCTTTTTCGACTTGGAATGATGGGCAAGCATGGGGAATTTCGCTCTTATAACCAATTGACTGGAATGCCAAGGACCTTTCCTGGAGACCAGCCAAGCTCGTTTGTTCACTCAAACATCACCTTTCTTTAGACCAAAGAAAACACTCACCACACTTGTTGAGCCATTTGGAGTCACTTTCGGGTGCGATATGCGTCTTATACTGGACTGATGAATCGTGTCTGTTCGTTGCTTCCTTGGTTCTATCTCAAACAGGCGTTGTGTCACACAATTCGCAAGATATATTAGATTCCTTGTCAGCATGTACTCCTAACAAGCGCCATGCGTCTTCGTAGACGCCAGCACTACCGAAGAACTTACTGCGCTGGGTAACACATGAGATATCGCGCTTCCCTTCCTGACCGACTCTCTGTAGAGTGTTGCGACGCAGGTGACGAAGTCCACCATCTTAAATATACTGGCCTACAATCAATGTTGATGTGTTGCAGTTTCATTCAAGAGTACTCGAGCTTGGCAAATGCCGCTTGCGCCCGGCAGGATCCCACCGACCGTCAGGGGTGCCATAGCAGGTATTACACGTCCGATATTGTCCAGTAGGGGCTCTTTTGTTCGTAAGAGATGAACAACGACGACGATCTTCGCCGCTGGTATCTGCACACAGCTGTAACCAACTACGAGAAACAGACTCTTTGGCTTGATCAATCGGATTGTAGATGGCAGCATTCATTTTCATTGTATAGAAGTGACCGGATACTATGACACTTCGGACCACCAAAGTTTAGAAGCTTTTTCTCGTAGCTCATCTTCACGGAGAATCTGAGCTCGGGATTAACTGGAGCTGAGATCATGACCCCAGTTCCGCCTTGTGCGTTGCATACGCAAGGATGCTGACTGCCTTGTCTGGACTGCCGCTCAGCAGCGCGGCCAGATGCAACTCAAGCCTTGGAGTCTTTGAGAGATTGATACCAAGACACTTGGGACCTTCATGGATGCCACGCTGCAGATCTCATGAACTGAACTGGAAAACTCGTGAGATCGATGGTAAGGATGGCGGGCTATCCTTACCTCAACGGTGTTCCTTAGGTGCATGTGTCGAATGTCAAGGGTGCTCATTATAAGGAACCTTTGTAGAATCACGCCCCACACCGGGCAACACGTTGGGCGGCCATCTAATTAGATGACCCAGCAAGTGCAGTAGTATGGCAGTCACCACCAGCCTGCATTGGAGAGGGAAGCTGGCCATGTGCACTTAGTATAAGAGCTCTGGAGATCCGCACTCAGCTGAATCGTTACAGCTTGATCAATGGCTGGCACCGCGGTTGTCAAGGCCCTTGTGGCATCTTTGCTTCTGGGTTCGGGCGCTTCAGCGTCTCCTTTGGTTAAGAGACAAACCACGCTCACGCTTGACGGTGTACAGGAGCAGGCCCTTGCCAATGCGTACAAGGTACTGGATGGGACTCTGTCAGATGGTCTGAACAGGTCCACATCATGTAACAAAGACACTGTTGCTGTACGCAAAGAATTGTAAGTACTTCTGGAAATGATTCGACGTATGTGTTAACACATGATAGCGGCGACCTCACTAAAGAGGAGCGGAAGGCATATACAACAGCCGTAAATTGTATCTTAAAGGCTCCATCCAAGCTTCCTGCCGGTCAATACCCGGGCGCAAAGTCTCGCTACGATGATTTTGTAGTCGTCCACATGAACATGACGCCATCCGTTCATGCCACCGCAAACTTCATGCACTGGCATCGCTACTACATATGGGCGTATGAAACAGCGCTTCGCAAGGAATGCGGCTACGAAGGCTACCAGTATGTGTCAATCTACGAGGTTTATTCGAAGTGAACACTAACCTAATATCTCTTATCACAGGCCCTACTGGAACTGGGCAAAGTACAAGGATTTGGTCAACAGCCCTATCTTCAACGGCGATGAGTGGAGCATGGGTGGCAACGGCGATCCAATTGGCCCACACGCTGGCATGAGTGTAGGACCGGGACAAACGCTTCCAGGCGGTCCAGGCGGTGGTTGCATATCTAAAGGTCCTTTTACCAACCTGACAATACGTCTCGGTCCCATAGCATCCACCATGGACCCCAAGCTGAACATCAAGCCCAATCCGCGTGCTGATGGCTTCGGTGACAATCCTCGCTGCCACCGTCGTGACGTGAGTAACTTCTTCACAGAAAGTTACTTGCGGCCTCAGGATCTCCTATCCCACATCACCAGCAACAAAGCCATCGGTACCTTCCAAGATTCTCTCCAGGCCAGCAATAGCAACAACCTTGCTGTGCTTCACATTGCTGGTCATTTCAGCATATGGGGCGACCCTGGCGGTGATGTGTACGTGAGCCCTGCTGAACCAGCCTTCTGGCTGCACCACAGCCAGCTCGATAGACACTGGTGGATGTGGGCCATGTATCAGGAGAAGGAGATCAAGTCTCGGACGAGTATGTACGAAGGCGGCACCCATTGGCTGATACCCAACAGTCCTAGAGGCAAATCGACAGATGAGCAGGAGCTGAACGTTGCAGCTCCACCGGGCAAGAATCATCTTGAAAGCAATCAGTTTTTTTCTACCACAGCAGGGCCGCTGTGCTATGTATATGCTTAAAAAAATCGAGGACCTCACTCGCATGTCTGAACGACTTGCCCATTTAGCTATCATGTGCTGATCAGCATTGCGTCTTAATATAATTTGATTCTGTTTTCGCACCATCTCTGCGCTTTCGTACGTGTCCAGGTGTCGTTTTGGTGTTTCCAATATCTAGATCTGCCCTCGGCTGCTATTATCAGTCCCGAGAGCGATGCCTCCCACCTTGACCATCTTCGAAAGACGGGATACTCTTGCCTCTCTTACCCAATCGAGAAGGTAAAAAAAGTCCAGGTATTCACTTGTCGCGTAAGCAGACACACGTGATGACGGGATTCTAGCGCGACGCGCTACCGGTAGATCATCCAGTTTGAGAAGCGACGGATGACATCGGTGGTCTTGTTTCACCCACCCACCACCCCGCCACATCGAGAACTGCCGGTACCAATGCATCAACAGTCACGAAGATGGCGACCCCGCAAGCGAAACGTCGCCGGCTAAATGAAGCCACCAAGACGCTCCAGAAGCCGTTCAAATCGCCGTTCCGCACGCCCTTGAAGCCTAGCATTGGAGACGATCCGCCATCCTCAGATCCGCCTGAGCTACACACTCCTGCCCGCAAGGCCTCGGAGACAAATTTCAACACTGCCAGGAATATCGCTCCTGCGAGCCATTATGCACAGCACTCAACCACCGCTGAGCCTTCTACACGGCCACTGCCAACGCCGGCAACGTCCAAGGTGACAGCACGTGTCTCGAAAACTCTCGTCTCACGGCCAAACACAACCACACCTTTGCGGCTCGCTTCGAAGAAGACAGCATCGAAACCCTCAGTTGCACGCGAGATCATGCAACTCCGCAATGAGATCCAGATGCTTACACAAGCTCAGACCCTCGCTACCTCTACAAAAGACGACGACTTGGTTATGCTAATAGACAAATGGCGCACAGCGAGTCGTGCAGCTGCCGAAGAGTTGTTTGGAAGTACTCGAGACAGGGTCAATAGAATGGGAGGGGTAGGCGCGTGGAAGGAACGTGAGAAGGAATCAAAAGAACGGCAGATGCAATGGGATAAGGAAGAGATGGAGGCAGAGCGAGAGAAGATGGAAAAAGCCAAAGAGAGCGGAGATGTCTCGGAAGAAGAGTATGATCGGTATGCTGAGATGGATTCGGAGAGAGAGAAAGGAGAAGAGGAGAAGGAGACGTTCAAGTGCGCAGACGACGATGTGAGTACGCCGAGACAGTTGTGAATCTATTATCACTGACAGGGAGACAGTCGTTTACGATGGACATGATGCTCAAGACACTCAACATCGACCTCAAGCTCATCGGTTACAACAAGGAAGCGCAAAGGTGGGATGGATGACATTGAAGAACTAAGAGCACCATCCGGTATATTCTCGGCTCGTACCTCGAGTTTGACAGACCCCACCTATACATGACTTGAACTTGCCCTGTCCATGGAACAGATATAGGCATCATGATAGAACTACACGATACAAACTGTAGGTCATCTTTCACAGCTGTTGTTGTGCGGAGTAACTTACTATGTTAGGATGAATGTTCACGGCGATACCCTTACCAGCGACGGAGTTTGTCAACACCTAATGCAGATCTTTACGAATGTTGAACGATGCCATGCCTGTGACGTCATTCTTACTCCACATAATACTACTACACTACTAGCATTACTAATGTTCACGCGCGACGACGGCCATCTTGTTCCTCTAAGCACTCTTGATAACCCAATTCCCAACCTTTCATACCAATCCAATCGTTTTCCTAAACAACCTATCCGTTCCAGATTCCCACTCCCATCACCAACCATGTCACTCAAAGGCCAAACCGTCCTCATCACAGGTGCATCAATGGGCATCGGCGCAGCCATAGCCCAACGTCTAGCCGCCGAAGACGCAACACTCATCCTCTTCGCCCGCTCAGGCGACAAGCTAAAAGCCTTGTCCGACTCTCTCAAAGCCAAGCACTCGAACCTAAAAATATTCCTATCCGTCGTCGACGTCCAAGACCACACCTCCCTCAGCACTGCCATCTCACATATAGTCCAACAAGTCTCACACATTGACGTTTTGATCAACAACGCTGGTCTTGCCATCGGTGCGCCCTCCAAGTTCCCCGACCTCCAAATACAGGACATCATTACTATGACGAACACTAATATCAATGGATACATGTTTGCTGCATACGCCGCATTGAATGAGGGAAAGATGAAAGAGAGGGGCAAGGGCACGATTCTCAATGTCACTAGTACAACGGGGTTAGAGGTACCGCCATTCCCGGGTGAGGCAGTGTATCATGCTAGTAAAGCTTGTCAGGAGGCTTTTACCAATGTGCTAAGGACGGAGTTGGTGGGCACGGATATCAAGGTGCTTGCGTTACGACCAGGGGTTGTGGCGACGAATTTCCATGAACAGCGGTATGTCGTACATCTCTTCTCGTACATGGTGTGGATCTCGTACATGCCGTTTCCGTACTCTCCCACTTTTGGTCCTGCGGTGGAACTTTGAACTGACAAGGAATTTAGTGTTGGATACGACAAGGAGAGCTATGACACTTTCATGACCGGCTTCGAGCCTCTTGTTGCTCCTGACGTTGCGGAAGCGGCTGCTTTCATGCTAAGCCAGAAAGATCGGGTTAGCGTGAAAGCGTTGGATGTAGTGCCTACTGCACAGCGGAGTTTACAGGTGTTTGATCGGGAGTGGAATAGTAGAGACAAGGCGAGGAACGAGGAGACGATGAAAAATTGAAAAAGCGTGAGACTGGCGACGGGTATCGTTAAGCAGGTTTAAGCTGGATATAATATGCCCAGAGCTTCATAGGTGAACGAAACTTGCTCACCGACGCTACATAAGTACCGAGACATAAAAGAGTTATGGAACTCCTATATTGGTGAACATGACACACTATAGTTTGCTATCACCGTACGTGAGAAATATACATCAGTTCGTATCACATAACACCACCACCACTTCTCCCAGAAATGCCCCTCATAGATGTAGCAAAGTCAGATCACTGAAAATTCATCACAGCTTCTCTGCATCGTTAATGCCACCGTTTGTGATGATATATGTTGCTTCCTTCTCCGGCATGTCTGAAGTGGTGCGTTAGCAGATATATGCCAAATAGCGATGCATGCTGACATACCAGGAGAGTCTTGGATCTTAGCAACACGCTCTTCACCTCGACCCTTGCGAAGCAAGATCCTTGTGGCAGAAGCGTGCGCGAGGATGTGACCACCAATGGGCTTGCGGCCATCTGCACTAGCGAAGAGAGCGCTCGCTCCAGGATCGCTCTGAACTTGGTTTGTCAGGAGCACGGCGACGTTGAACTCTATGCACTATTAGGTTGAATCAGAACCATGAGGGAAACTTTGGAGTACCTTCAGCCACATGCGTTAGCTTCGAGAGGAATTGGTTGAGCTTTTGCTGCCGCTCATTGAGCTCACCACGGCCCGTATAGTCGACACGAAAAAGAGCCATGATACTGTCGATGATGAGTAGGCGGTACTCATTGCTGACAAAGAACTCTGCGACTTTGTTGAGAAGTTCCATCTGATGCTCCGAGTTCACAGCACGCGCATAAGTGATGTTGTCTTGAGCTGAAGATTGTCAGTAGAGATATCAGAGGGAGTAAGATGATACACACCAGTCTCGGGGTCTACACCGAATCGCTCTGCAATCTGGGCTATCCTCTCTGGTCGAAATGTTCCTTCAGTATCTGAGTAGGTGTGAGACGAGTTCAAAGGCAGCGATGTTCGACATACCAATGTAGGCTACCTTGCCTTCCGCACCACCCATGTCCTTCGGTAGCTGTGCGATGACAGACATGGTATGTGACAACTGGGTCTTTCCGCAGCGGAATTCTCCAAAGACCTCGCTGATACTCATCGTCTGGAAGCCACTATGTATCGTCAGCATCGATATTTGGAACATAGGCTGACACAGACACTCACCCTCCGAGCACGGCATCGAGCGCCTTACTGCCAGTAGAAATCTTGATGACACGCTTTCGCAAATGTCCGAGCTCATGAGCAGTCTGAAAGCCTCCCCCAGAAGGCTGTGCTGCACGTCAGAGATCTACACTTGAGTGTGAAGTGGACGTAGTGATGTACCTGGCACTTTGCGATGGCATCCTTGACTTTGTCGACCTTGATTTCACTGAAGCCCTTGATCTTCAGTAGATTGCGACGAGTAGCCGAATGCACTGATGCGATGGTATAGTAGCCATTTGACTTCAGCTTCGAGATATCGACAGCACCGATACCGTGCGCCTGGATCGCATCGATATCAACGATGAAACCGTCCTGTGTGTGTTCAGTCAATTTGCATCTCATCTCAGTGAGAGGAAGTCACTCACATCATTGTTCGAGTCGTCACTCGCAACCGAAGAAGCGCCCATAGTAGGTCGTGATGGTAAATGACTAGGTATAAGACGAAAGGGAGCGATACAAGGGAGAGTACGAGTGCTGCGTGTGTGAGGGACAAAGGTGGGAATGAGGGAGAGATGGTGGAAGAAGAAATAATGGGAAAGTCTGCGAAAGGCGAGACAGCGGAGGAAGGCACGATGAACGGGGGCGCTGAGGTCTGTTCCGTCTGTGTAACACTGAGGAAGGAAGGCGCAACCACCACCATCATCAACGCGACGCCTCGCAACGAGGAGAGAGGAACACACGTGCATCTTAGAAATGATGAGCTCAATTCGATTGAATCGACTACTAGAGGGGCCGAGTTGACGGCCTGGAAACTGCGACTGAGCAGTGTCAGATCCAATGATGGGGATACCGGTGACGACAGCCGGTTCCTCCATAAGCCAACGGCCAGGCAGAATAAGGCAGCCGTGGCCAACGCTGTACTGTTGGGCATCATAACAGCTCTCGGGAATCGTGCAGTCGAGTGGACTGTAGATGGTACTCTAGTCAGTGAAGATGAGATGGATCTCGGAAGTCAGATGCTGATGTGACTGCATATATTCGAAATAGATGATACAATCTAAATCCAAGCTATGCAAGCACAGTCATGTATGAAGATAATGATAGCAGACAGATACACCGACCCCGCTCCCGACATACACACACAGTCTCCTTCACTCTTCCTCGTCCATACTACCTCCATCCCCTGGGAACAAGCTTTCGCACCAAACCACCACAGCGCCTTCCAGCTCCATAGACGAACCTGGTTTATCCAAGCACATTCGCACTGGTAACTCTTCTGCCGAAGAAACTACCAAGCCAAATCGCTTGTATAAAAACAGGTCGCCATCCAAATCGCCAAGCCGTCGTCTGTCGAAATAATGGTAGAATGGTTGAAGTAAGGGATATAACGTTCGTGGGGTATCAGTATAAGAATCGTGAAGAACTTTTCTCATATCCATTGATGACTCGTGAATGCGTGAGATATGCCGAAATGATGCTGAGATTGGCTAGGGAAATGATCGTGATGAAATGGTAAACCTAATGAAAGACATGGTAGTGCATGCCATAGGGGCCAGTACTCGCCACAATATTACTCATGGCGAGACTTGGGCATAGCTTGAAGTCGCTTAGGCGACAGCAGCGGTGGGAGCAGCGGCCGGGACGGGAGCAGCAGCAGCAGCAGCGGCAGCAGCAGGCGCGGCAGTAGCGTCGCCGTTGACCTCAGCCTGAGTGCAGTCGCGGGAAATGTGGCCGGTCTCACCGCAACGGTAGCAAGTCTTGCCAGCAGTGTTCAAGGGGCCGCCGTTGGGGGCGGTGCAGTCGCGGGAGATGTGGCCTAGTTGATGTCAGGGGTTGTATGCTGGAATGTGTTCAGTCGACTCACCAAGCTTGCCGCAGGCGTAGCACTTCATAGCTTGGGCCTGGCAGTCACGGGCAAAGTGGTTAGGTCCACCGCACTTGTAGCAAGTGGCCGGGCGAGCGCCACCAGCGAAACCGCCACGGAAACCTCCTCCATAGCCGCCACGAGGAGGACCGCCAGCTCCACGACCCATTCCAGGGTTGGGGCAGTTGCGGGCAAGATGGCCAGCGATACCGCAGCTGTAGCAGCGTCCGCTGGTGCCGGCTCCACTCAGACGCAGAGTTGGGCAGTCAGCCTGAACGTGTCCGAGACCCTGGCAGTGGTAGCACTGCTTGGCTGTTCCTTGGTTAGCTCTTTACTTCTTTATCATGCAGGGTTGTATATCGCCGAAAGCGCGCGAGGGCCATTGGGCGAGTCCTCGATGTGAAAACGGGTAGTGTGGATTGCAGTGACGTACTCTCGGTGGTGCGGGGATGCGGGCATCCGTTAGACTCGTGGCCTGGCTGCTTGCCTGTAGGGAGGTTAGTCCATAGTCGCAAGTGGTTTTGGGGTGGTCTTACAGTTGTAGCACAGCCTCTCAGAGGAAGAGCAAACCTCTGTATATCTCCGTCAGTCGCAAGGTCTCTCATGAACGCTGCAACACTACTCGTGGCGGCGCATTGTAGGTACTACACTCAGAACCAACATGCGCGATGTGTCTTCTGATAGTGCAACCGCAGCGCGCGCCACGAGTCGATGCGCGGGACGGCTTACCGGCATAATGGCCAACGTTTCCGCACTTGAAGCACGCACGACGAGACAGGGAAGACATGATGTTGTTTCTCTGGGTATATCTGGGAAGCGTATAAGTATACGCTCGGTGGTTGCGTGAGTTGCGCAGGGAGTGGGTCGCGAATGAGGGGTGGTTTTGGGTGGTGTGTTTGCTGCGACGTCTGCTCTGCTCCGTGTTCGCTCGAGGGAGTGCGCGCGCGACTAGCAGAGCAGATAGGGCGAAAGTACCTGCTTCGTTTGCTTCTTCAATTTCCTTCACCTGCGTTCGCCAGTCAGTCGCAGATTTTTCGAGGGGCTGTCGTCGAGGGGTAAGGGAACGCGGACGAAGCACGCGCCAGGGCGGAACCTGGCGCGCACCATAGGGAAGGGGCGATTTTCGGCGGGCGCAACCTACTTGCAACTTTCCTGACCTTCCCACAGCAACTCTTCTTCAACCTCCTGCTAAATGTGGTGAGAGATTTGGGGGGATCGTGGAATGTTCGGGCAACGGGCAAAATGCATCTCTCATAGCTGTGGTCCCTGCTTCGGTTGCGCTAGCGAAATGCGCAATCTGGTTCTTCCCGAGGTCGAACTGAACCATAAACAGCCCCGAATTGCATCATGCGCCGTTTCATAGAACCCGACTATGCCGTCTTCACTCTAGAAATGTCCCGTCTCCTATCATCGTGCATCAGAGGCGCTTTCATCGTACCGTGGGGGCCCTGGATTGTTTTTTGCCCCTCCGCTGCTGCCGCCAGTTTGAGAGCTGGTCCTCTCCGCCCCGCATCATGACACGATTGTTGCAGTCGTACCCTGTAGCTAAGATGCAGAGTCAGCTTCCCCAATATCAGCAAACCAACGCCCTCTGTACAGTCCGCCCATGTCAAAAGATTCGAGCAGGTGGTTGTCCCAAATATTCATATCATTCGTGTCTATCTATTATTCAATGCCAACAGTAGTGACAAGTTTTTTTTTTAATAATCGTGGTCGTTCGCTTGCCGTCCTCTGTCGTGCCAAAGGGTAGGTCTCGTGGCTGGAGCACGTTGCATCGCGCTTTGTAGGTCTTCTAGTCTTCAGACTCGATGACAGCAGGAGCCTTGAGGGTCTTGGTCTTAAGGAAGTCAAGGCCTTCGCCACCCTGGATGACAGTTAGCGTTCGGTTTCACAGACCAAGAGGTATCTCTGAGAACTTACGTATGAGATCAATGGTGATACTTCGATACCGGCCTCAGCGTCCTCGCTGACAACGGTGGCGCCAGCGGCCTGGACCCACTTCTTGCCCTGGGTCATGATGTCCTGCTTGCTGGTATCAGGGTCGTCCTCACCAGTTCCGCGGGCATTCTTCAGGGGCGAGAACTCGTCCTCACGCTTCACTTCCATGCAAGCGAATTTCTCCAGAGTCAGGAAGGGGAAGCAGTCGAAGACGAATTGCTCCAGCTTGATGCCGTTTGGTTTCTCTGGCTTAATGGTCTCACCGGTCTCGGTGTTAACGTAAGGAATTTTCTTGCGCGCAACGTGGTGAGGAAGCTTCTTTGCCCACTCTGGGATGCTCTCAAGGAACTTGTATGAGTAGTAGTGGTTGACGATGTTGGCGGCGCGGAACTTGAGTAGGCTCGAGTCCTTGGAGTCCTTGGCCTCTGCGTCTTCGGTTGAGATCTCTGAGTACTCGACAACATCTGGCTTGCCGTTCTTCTGGAGGATGAGACCGACAGACTCCTTGGCGTTGCGCTTGCGAACGACCTTGGTAGCGATGTCAACGTTCTTCGACGCGGAGAAACCGATAAAGGCAGGGTCGGCGACCTTGACCAGGCAGTTGTCGACACAGTATGCGTGGATGTGCTGGATGCCACGCTTGCCCATGTCTTGTACGACACCGGACTGGATAAGAGCTTGGTAGAGACCACCGTTGCCATCGGGAGCGACGGCGACCTTTGACTTGCTCTCCAACAGGATCTTGCCCTCGTTGGAGATGCATGGCAAGACACCCTGCTCGAAAATGACAACGTTCTCCTTCTTCAAGCCAAAGTAGTTGTTCTTCTCGAAGAAGTCGGCGGTAGGGCCGCGAGTAGGGCCGCTGGTCATGACGTACCACGGGATGGTAACGCTCTCCTTGTTGTGCTTCTTGGCGGCCAGCATCTCGGCCTTCTTGATCCTCTCACCCTGCAGCTGGAACAGGCTCTTCTTGCTGGGCAGTCCAATGTCGAAGCATCCCTTGGGCGCTGAGCTGCCCAGACGGGTACCCTGGCCACCGGCCATCAGCACAACCGCGACCTGGTTCTCGGCGATGAGGTCCAATCCGCTGTTGTACCATTTGTCGAGATCTTCCTGCTGGGAGGAGAGGACGGAAGATGTGGCATTTTCGGGGAGGGGCTCGAGCTTGTTCTCAGTGGCTTCGGCTTCGGCGGGGTGGAGGGCGCGCTCGGTGATTTCGTTGATGTAGTCAGGGTTGAAGTTGCTCAATTGCTCGTAGAGGGTGGCCTTCTCAGCAGTGGAGAGCTTGTCGTAGAAAGCCTGGTGTTTCTGTTAGCAAGGGAACATGAGATGGGAGCGTCTCAGAAGTCATGGCTGGGTCCAGTGAGCCACTTGGTGCTCACAATGTCCAGCGAGGTGCTCCCAGACTCGCCCACGGCAACGTTGGGGCTGCACGTACAAAAACTTGCTCTTGGCCAGCCTTCTGGTACTTGGACTTGAGCTCGTTCAGCTGCTCCTCTGATGGCTCCTTCGCCGGTGTGCCCTGAGATGCGCCCCCTGTGATGTTGAGCTTCTCGAGCGCGCTGTTGACCGTGTCCTTGATGGCGTCCATGATGATGCGGGGTATTGGTGGGGTAATTTGTGTATTAAAGAAGGATGTTGCTACTAGTTCCAAGGTGTATGCCTGAGATTTACACCGAGTTTGTGGAAAAGTACGGTTTTGCTGCCTCACCGCGCCTTTATGAAGAATCGACTACAGCATAGCTCTGACGCTCGTGTTGCCCCACTCGGCGTAGGTCCCTACTGCACATGGGTAGGAACGAGCCCAGAGCCTCCCGAGATCGTCAGCGCCCGCAATTCGTCACTAATAATAGACTTTTTGTGTATTCTGTATCCTTCATTCTTCATAAGCTACAGCCATGTCGTAAAGCTACGTGTGTAACTAGTCATCGCTCATGCTGCCATGCGCAAATACAAAATTTAACCCAGATGCTTCTGGTTGCCAGCGAACGGCCAAGAACAAAATTGCCGCTCCGGCGCAATGCATGAACACCGGGCTTTCCAAAAAGCAAGCCATATGCAACTCCACAACGCCATGATGTCGTGTAACCACGTTTCTCATAATGCGGTGCATGTCATTACGCGTGTCCATTGACCTCCGCCTTCTCAGGCTCAGCAGGCTTTAGCGCTTTTTGAGGCGCTGGGTTTAGTATGCGAGTGGCATCGATCAAGCCGGCGTTGGGGTTCAGCTTGAGGCCAAAACCTGGGAGATCAAGGGTCTTGACGTCGAGGTATCCCTTGGTGGGGATGGGCTCGTTGGTGAATCTGCATCTCATTAGCAAAACATTCGGCAAACGATTGAGCGGGAACTTACAGGTTGCCGAAGACGGGCAGAACAGACTTGCCGTCTGGTGAGTTTGCGAGGTACTCTTGGAACGGCGAGTTGGCCTGAGAAACAACGAAATGGTACGAGTATGGTCCACTGGCGTGGGGCACAACAGGAATGTCGTAGGCAGCGGCCATGGCCGAGATCTTGATGAGCTCAGTCATACCTCCAACCCACATGACATCGGGCTGGAGGATGTCCAGGTTGCGGCCCTCGATGAGCTTCCTAAAGCCGTATCGCGAGTACTCGTGCTCGCCTGTGGTAAACTTCATGCGAGGGTGAGCGCGCTTGATCTGCTCGAAACCATCCGAATCATCGGGTGACAAGCACTCCTCCCACCAGTTCAAGTTAAGGTGTTCGGTGGCTTTTACGACTTCGATTGTGTAGGGTACGTTCAAGCTCATGTAGCAGTCAACCATGAGAGGGAAATCTGGTCCGACGCTTTCACGGTGCTTGGTGAGGAACTCGACGTTCTTCTTGAGACCCTCAACACCCTCACCAGGGCCGTAAGGCAGTGGTACCTTGGCGCCAAAGAAACCCATCTCCTTTGCTGCTGCAGGCTCAGGACCAGTGCAGTAGAAGTTGAGCCTCTCCCGGGTAGCTCCGCCGAGCATCTTGTATACGGGCTCATTGCGAATGTGGCCGAGCAGATCCCAAATAGCAAGATCGATTACTGAGATGACGGCAACTGGGAGGCCTTTGCGACCATAAAACATGGACGCACGGTACATCTGCTCGAACATGTGGTTGGTATCTCTAGGATCTGGAGATAAATTAGAACTGTTACTCAATACATTATCCAACTGAGTGCTTACCTTGGCCAATCAGGAAGCGCTCGAAATGCTCAGCAACTAGCCAGCATGCTGGCGGACCTCCGAATCCAGTAGCAAAACCCTTGGTACCGTCACTGGCCTCGATTTCAACACAGAAGGATCCCAAGACATTAATGCCCCAGCTGGTTCTTGACTTGCGGTAATCTTCATACTGGCTCATGGGAGTCGAGATCTTGCTATCAATGAGCCAGTGGCCGCCAGCAACATTGTGATAGTCTCCGCCGCTGCCGGGGCCTTGGGTAACGAAAGTTCGCACGTGTTTGATAGTGGGAAAGGAGCGCGCTGCGCCAGAATCTGTGGAAGAAACCATTGTGAGATCAGGAAGAGTTGGTTACACAGGAGAAGCAGACGACAAAGCGTGAAGGAGGGGTAGATAAGTGCTTGGTAGCAGAGCGCAAATGTTATTTAAACGGCGGCATAACTACGTGCCAGGTTTCGTGTCTCGTTGAAGAGGGTCCCTCGGTCCATCTCGCTGCGATTTGCAACGACTGGGGGAGAATCCGTTGATACTTGGGCCAAGAAGTGGAGCGCACGCGCGTGAGCAGGCGTCGATGTGAGGCGTTCGGCACGTTGGCCGGAATGTGGACAAGGCCGAAGCATGTGTTTTTGCAGATCAGTATTGTACCGAAAAGCCAGCGGCCCACTGGAAGCCACCAATCCGGACATGCGGAGGGAGAGTAGGCCGGTAAATACGATATCTGGGGTAAGGGTCTAAAGCATGTAGGCGGGGCTGCGACGAGAGGACACCTCGGACTGACTTCTGCCGAGTTCAGCTGCACGCCCCCAATCGCATCCTCCACCATGGATACCAGTGCAGCCCACCAGCAGACGGCGAGTCCCAACGGCACTGCGAAGCTTTCCAACCACTCCCCTGGCGATGCGCAGGACTGGAGCGGCGATGAGCGCTCCAGCGACGATGAAGCCAACGACCGAAGCCAGAACGGCACATCGAACAAGCGGAAGCGGCCGCTATCCGTAAGCTGCGAGACATGTAGTAAGTGTGATACAGCAGGACCTGAGGCATCCCATTCTTACCAAGTGTAGAGCAGCGAAAAGTCAAATGCGACCGAGGCGCGCCAGCTTGTTCCTGGTGCTTGAAAAACCACTCCGCATGCGTCAGTTGCGCCGTCGGCTCGTACCAACCCAATACTGAATCACATCCAGGTTTATCTCCCGCGCAAGAAGCCAGGTCTGCGCGCTGGCTATGGACGAGAGCTGGAATCAAGACTTGGTAAGTCGCGTGTTCTCACCACCCTGTTCTGGAGTAGCCGAGGTCTGTGATCAAGTGCATGCGAGTCTGCTGTCGCTGCTGTCAGACTTTGCGCTTCCATCATGGCAACAAAGAGGCTTTCAGACGCGTCGCAATTGTCGCGTAGCGTGGCTGAACAGGCTGCTCCTTCCGTCCGAAAGCTAGAAACCGTACATGGCAACCACCAACACAGCTGACCGTTGCGCTCCTTCCAGACAAGCTCGAAGCGCTCCTCGTCCAGCAGCAGTCGCAAATCAACCACCTCTCCAGCAGCCAGGTCGCCACTTCTGGTCCTTCACCACAAGAGGTGGCCGCGTTCCGCAGCCCGCCGGTGATACAGACACCTCACATACCGCGTCCCGAAACGGCCCTTTTCATCCAGAAGCCCACGTTTCCTTCGCAGAATGCAATACAGAACCAATATGGCAATGGAGTCACGGATCACAGGCCTACGCCCTCGGTCACAGGCAATGGCTACCAGTCCGAGGACATGAACAGCATGAGCGGTGGCATGTCTAGAGAAGTCTATACCCCGTACAACGACCAGTACCAGCCGGCCATGTCGAGGAATCTCGGCCATGCAGACGCCGACTTCCCTCCCTACGATCTTCTGTATGGGCTCGTCGACCTTTTCTTCAAGCACATCAACACCTGGTGTCCCATCCTCCACCGCCAAAGCACGTTGAACTCGCTGTTCGGAGACGCAACTCTAGACGAAGCGGACCGAATCATACTACACGCTGTTGTCGCCACTACTGTCAAATTTTCTACCGACCAGCGCCTGACCGCGGAGAAGCGCACACGTTACCATAAGAGCTCCAAGGAAAAGGTCTTGCTGTATGGCATCGAAAACAGCTCCGTCAAGTCGTTGCAAGCCCTTGTCATCCTTGCTCTAGATGTTGTTGGCTGCTCCAATGGACCTCCGGGCTGGAATCTACTTGCTCTCATTACGCGCTCGGTGGTCCAGTTGGGTCTTTCGGTCGAAAGCTACTCACCTAGCGTGGCCCCGCAATTTGCGTCAATATACACTTTGCGCGCCATGACGCTCCCCGAGCCAAAAGACTGGATCGAAGAAGAAAGTCGGCGCAGACTGTTTTGGATGATCTATGTTCTGGACCGATATGCGACCGTTGCGACAGCTTTCGAGTTCGCCTTGGACGAGAAAGAGATCGACCGTCGATTGCCTTGTCGCGATGACATGTATGCGCGAAATGTTCCTGTTGAGACGCGATGGTTCCATACCTCGACGCGATCCGACTACAGTATGAACAGACCGGAGAATCTTGGCTCCTTTTCCTACTACGTCGAGATCTTGGGCATCCTCACGCGCATTCACAAGTTCCTGAAAAAGCCAGTCGATATTACGTCTTTGTCCGACGTCGAGTCGTGGCAAAGTGAGTACCGGGAGCTCGACAATGCTATTGAACAATGGAAGTACAACCTTCCCGCAGAATTTGGAAACTCTGCGAGATTATTCGCAAAGCCAGGCATGGGACAGAATCTTGACAGTGGCTTGGTAATGCTCCATGCGGCTTTCCACACGTAAGTTTGATCCCTACCCGAGACACAAAGGATGTACTGACTTCAATAGCACGGTCATTCGCCTTCACTCTTCCGCCGCGTACCCAACCCATCGATCGCCCATCTTCACTCCGTCCTTCAGCGCTAGTCAGAGGTGTCTCAGCGCTGTCGAGAACATAACAGCCCTTTGTGCTACTGTACGTGATAACGGTTTGCTGAGCAAACTTGGCCCGCCCTTCGCGTTTTCGCTGTGGGTGGCTGCACGTGTTCTCTTGGTTCACGGATCCACAATCGACCATCGCGTCGACCAGTCAATCAATCTTCTCGTCAGCACTCTTCAAGATATGGGCCAGTACTGGGAAGTTGGTACGCGTTACGCTAGCCTTCTTGCACGCGTACTCTCTGAATACCAGGAAAGTCAGCAGACCCCTACGGGCGCGAACGGTGAACGCGTGACGCCTTCAACTGTTAAGATCCTGGCGGACATGCGACGATGTGCATTTGATCTGGATTTCCTCATCTCTCGACAGCCCAAGCTCAGTAACAACCAGAACCCCAAGGTCAACACTGTTACCCCGGCTCGAACACCTGCACCAAATGAGCTGGAGTATCTTGACGTGTTC